TTATATACAGGTTTTGATGAACTTAAGGGCTCATAATTGCGCTACCAGCACAGAGGGTAAAAAAGGACCTAACATACATAGCTGGCTGAAAGTTTAAGTTGTGGCGACAATTAGGGATGAGTTCAACTGCATGCGCGTCAGATATGATTTTTGATATATGAACCGTCCTATACTGAAAGAAAAATAAATTGCTAGAGAAACAGTCGTCGGGCTTGTTCCTACTACGTTCATTCCCTTCTAACTACGCCGCATCATGATGTCTTCGCCGTGCCATGTTGTTGGCAGATGCTCAAGAAGGTGGGGAGAAGAACAGGTGAAAGATATGACTCTCACAAGGAGGCTGTGATTATTCCGAAATGTAGTCTCTCCAACATGCGCAGACTGGCATCTCATCATAAACCCTTGCCCCCACGTCCCTAGATGCTGTATGTAGCACTAGGCTGGACGATAAGTTCTGGCGCTGCGTATGTATTTGCGTCCATCAAATCAAGAACGCCTACTCATCGCAGAACAGACCGAATTATACTATCTTCTCTTTCGCACAAGGGCCACTGAGAAGCGAGGTGTGTACGTCCTCCAGATGTGTCAAGTTACAAAGACGTTCAACCCTTTAGGAAGAACACATAAAAACTCCACGATAACGAAGAAATCTTAAGATGACCAACCTACAGAGAGAAAACAGCGACAACGTGAGCCAGAAGAGATCCGAAAGTAGTAGTCCTGAAGAGGTCAGAGCATCATACAACAGTCGACACTCCACAGACTTCAGATCTCAATTGCTAAGTCCAGAATTTGCTACCATGCAGGTTCGAACACTCGTACGACGCCTCCGGTTGACATTGCTGTGATTGTAATTTATGAGATATTCCATAATATAGCGCATATCCCTGGGAGCTACATCTCACAGCCACCCTCCGTTTATTCTTTATCTCACTACGACGTAGCAGCAGCAGCCGCTGCACCTTCATCAACCCTCCTTCAACGACCTCGGATCCTGACGACAACCCGTCTAATGTGCGCGCTTAAAGATGAAAAGAAAATACTGAGAGCTTGCTGGATAATCTACAGCAGGAAAGGGTGAATGAAACTGGTCTCACAGGTCGGCTGCCTTTGCTGCAAACACCCGCGCGCAAAGAAAACAAGACAACCGGTAAAGGCAGAAAAAGAGAAAAAGCCTAACCGCCAAACAACGTCGCCAGTGTGCGCTTGCAATGTCATTCTGTATCCCGTTTACCGCCCTCGCCTTTCTGAATGCAAGCTATTCATATCCTATCCGCCATGGTCCCCCGTCCATTGCTCGCTCGCTAATAAAACACGCAGTCTCATCACAGCAGGAAAAGGAAAGGCAACAGAACAAGGACTTTTTTCTTTACCGCCACAAGCTTTCGAGGCTCCGTACAGTCACAACGATCTTCAATCCTCTCAGTCATGACCTGACCGGCGACGGGCCAGGCCGGCACATCCAAACGTAAAAAGCGGGGATATCGGCCGGCGCGCACCACCAGGTGGTCAACCCCCTCCTCCGGGCCCCGCCTCAACGAGATCGGCGTCGGGGATCCGGGGGACAGTATCTCTTGACACTTCACCACACAACACCTCACCTCAATTAACCTTTGAACATACTACGGCTCTCTGATGGTGTATTGCTTCCTAAAAGAAGCGTACATATGATGTGACTTGGCTTGTTTTCAGAGGCTTCCAAAGTGGTCTCGTTCACTCCTAAACGGCACCTCGAGGGGTCAATACTATGATAGGCTATTTACACGACATTAGATTATCCGATCCAGAAGACATGATGCCTTGCAGAAACTTGATAGAGCCACATGGCTTCAGAAACTGGGAAGAAAAAAAAATTGAACTGATCATCGTATAATTTTACAATGACTCTTCGCCGTCATTACCCCAATCCATACATAGTTGGGCCGCCGCGCCCGCTGGAGCAAGACTTTCCGCATCTGGTAGGCAAATCGCAAGTAAAAAGCCCCCCCCTCCCTCCTCCGATCCGAACAGGTCTAACGCTGGGCCTGGCGCGGGCGTACGGCGGGAGAGCGAAGAACAGAGACTCCTACTCGGACACGGGAACTTCCACATACGCCGTCACGCCGTCTACTTCACCCTCTTTCCTCACTTCCTGCGCCTCTTCAGCGGGCGGAAAGAAAATTTCTTGACACTAGTAGACGTAACCGAGATTCCGGGGATATGCTAGGCCGCGATCCAACTTCCACGACCCAAACTTTATGTTTGGTCTCGACTTATAATCTTGAAGAAGGACCCCTGATTCCCCCAATCCTTTGGGGGACGTCTCTTTGCCCCTCTTCCTGAGCTAAGATAGCTAGCTAGCTTACCTTCTAACTCTCTTTGAATGTTGAGCTCGTTTGCACCGGAGCAGGCTCCTGGAGAGACTTTCTAGAGCTCTGCGAAAGGAAGGGAGGAGATTGGATCGAAGAGGGAGGGGGGGGGGGGCTTAGGAGAAAGCTCAGCTCAGCTCAGCTCAGCTCAGCTCAGATGTGGCATATCCCGCCATCTTTACACGAGGTTTTCTACGTCAGACAGCAAAGCACAAAGAAAAAAGGTAAAATAAAGCAAGACTTCGTCAGGAATGTACAGAGACGAAGAGTCTGCCTTGCCCGGTTCCCTCGTGTTGGCGCCGGGCAGGAAGAGGGGTTGTCCGGCCGTGGATCACTCCCTGTAAATGATTGTCGTTATCGGGTTACAGATGTCAACCTTAAAAGAGCACCATACACATTACTGCGGTACACGGCGCAAACACAGAGCATACACAGCAACAAGCACGGCACTGCCCAAAAAAAACTAGAGTTTAAGCAGCGTGTTACCAGGAGAGTGGTTTGGTGTGGTGGGAAGGTTCGAGTGGACGCATCAACACAAGTCAGAGGTACCTTGCCGAACAGCAGTCTCGGGCAGCAGCGGCAACGCTGCGACGGCGACGGACGGGACAACTCGTCTCAAAACGATTCAACGGTGACGAGAAGGCTAGGATCACGTAGCGGAGGGAGCGCCTGGAAACAACTGCCTCACTGCCAGCCCGCCCGGTCCGCCCGCCTCTCGGTATCAAGCCGAGTCTGGATCGAGTTTGTTGGATTCGCGTACAATCAACTCTTGTGCATTGTCTTTCTCGACGAATTTACCAACAGGCGCCATTAACGAATGGAGCGAGCTTGCTTTGTTGTTGTTCTCGAAACTCACGTGCACAGTCACTAGGGCGACGTGGTCGTGAACGAAGTGGACGAAGATGGACCGCCGAAACAGCATATCGCCGGTTTCGTGTCCGTGCCTGGGGGTCGTCTTCAAGGGGCTGGGAGGGGGGGGGGGGGGGGAGGACCACAGTCATGCTAGTAACCGCGTGTTTGATCCGCAACTTCAAGTTTGGCGATAGAAAGCGTCAACTTTTTGGGATGGCAGATGACAGACAGTGCTTCAACAAGCTGAGACGAGGAGGATTCGACTAAGAGAGTAGAGAACCTTTGGGAGGAAGAGAGACGAATTAGTGAAATACCGTCGGGGTGGCTTCAGTGTCGTTTGATGATATGGCCCGTGGTGATACCATCGGAATCGTTGCTGTCAACCTCTGACGCGGTATCTGTTCGAAACCGTAAAGGTGACGAGGCCCAAGGCTAGAATGGAACTTCATGGAGAGTGCTTTGTAGCTGCACACTACTGTGGTTCAGCGATGTGATCGGGAAGACGTGGGTTAGATAGAGTTGGCTGCAGGGTTGCAAGGAGCCGCAGACAGAGGGCAGACAAGCCGGGATGGCCCGACCAAGGTAAGCGCAAAGGATCTGTGAATGCATGAAGTAGAGCGCCATGTTTGCGTGTGCCTTTCAGGGCTGAGCGAGCAGACGCGGCGTGCGTGTGTGTTGCTGCGTGGTTGATGAGACGAGACGGAGACGGAGGGCGGGAACGATCCCAGCGTTGTCTCCGTCTTTACTACGCCCAGCACGGAGAGCACGAAGCTCTGACGAGGCACAACTTGCAACGACAAAAGAGGACAACAAATGGGTACGTTCGCCATTGACCCAGAACTTGGAAGGGCGGCTCCAGGGCTGGCTGGTCAATGCCCATTTCCTGAACGTCCGTCTTGCATTGCTGGGGCGACGGGGCATCAGAATTAGGAGCAATAACGTAGTCTTCGGGCCAGGCACCGTCCTAAAACGGCAATGAATTTGAGGCTCGGCTGAGCAGGGCCCCTTTGGCAAATTAAAACGGACTGGGGGGCCTTCAGAAGTTCAGACTCTCCCAGAATCCAGACATGGGTGCACGTTGTTTGGAGAGGTGAAGCAGAGTTCCGGCGTGATTGATATTAGGGAAGACACCCGAAGACGGTGGAGATGGCAGGTCCATGGTCGTCGAATGAAGAATCGAGATCGGGCGGAGATAGTGTCATGGGCCTCGATATAGAGACGTGAACGCGAGAGGTTCGCCTGATGGTCCAAGGTCCTTCTCCCCCATGTGACAGCACAGCGTACCGTGTCGACGGACGTGTAGGGGGGGGGCACCGGTTGGAAATGGGGGGCTTGACTTTGAATGCCTTATTGATATTAACCGTTATGCGTTGAAGAGAGCGCACGTACTCTGTACGCGCTGGCACAAGCTTTGTACGAAGTATACGCGTCGCCCGGTATCCATACGGAACGAAATGAGGTGACGGTTTATTTCGGGAGCCGGGAGAGCTCAGCCCACCGACCGAAATGGCGGACGGGGACGGAGTGGTGGGGAATGGCATAGTTCGATGCGAACTGGATGATGTGCATCGTGCCATCGTCTTCATCGCGCACGGGTGGGGGGAGACGAGAAGCTTGTCGAGCCTTTGACGCTTGTTGTTTCTTCGTATCTTACACTACGGATAGTAGTGACATAATTGGGTAGCAACAGCCAATAGGTTCAAACAAGATTTCCTGCGAAATTGCCTCTCGATAAGATTTGGATGTGCGCTGGAAAAAATGTCCTTGGTTTTTAGGCTCATTCTCATTCTGAGCCGGTGAGCCCTAAGCTGATGAGGCTCATCCTTAAACGGGAACTCCGAACGAGGCTTAAAACTGGCACTGACTTGGGGCAAGTATCAACGGCCGGCCGTCCTTTTGCAGATGAGCCCGGGCAGCTCAAACAGCCCCGGATTTGCTGGGCAGAAAGGGTCGGTCACACAGACTGTGACCAGGGGAAGGGGTCTGGGTTAACGATATTTGAGGGTTCTTGGGGGCCCCATTTTCCTCTTCAGGTGGAAGATCTGCCGGGGGGCGCCAGTGGCTCGTTTTGAAACTTGAGAGCAGAAGAAAGAAGCAAGAATGCAGGATTGAACTCGGTAGGTCGTGGCGTGCAGAGGGTTGATAGTATCCGCACGTAATGAGGAGCGGTGGTATGCTGAAAAGGGTCATCTGCAGAGTCGTAATTTGCGGAAGATAGACGCCCAAAATAGACGCGGGCACGGCGCATACTGCAGTGTCGAGGAGTGAGTGAGTGAGTGGTGAAGAAGATGATGGAGCAATGCCTGGGTACCTAATGGGAAGAGATGGGAGAATGGGATGTTCCCTGTGGGAAAAAAGGGCATGGACGCGTTGGCGGGATGAACAGACCGACTTTTCGATATCCCATCCATGGTTGCCCTTCGTGTGCATCCCCTTTCGCGCAGTTGCCGCTCCTTCTTTTGCCACTATTTCGCTACACCGTACAATACAGGAAACTGGCGCTCGTTGGATCTTCTTGTCCTTCTTCGCTCCGAGGAAGGGGCCTGGCTGGGCTTGCGGTGATCAGGACCCCCCCCCTGGTCGCTCCATTCTTGCACGTCTGGGGCTTCCTTCCGAAGCCGAGGTGTTCGCCCGTCGATGGTTCTTGGTGTTTGTTTTCCCGGGTTGTTGTTGATGAGGAGAGTTAGAAATAGTTGGAAGTGGTTGCCAGCTGGCAAATGACACTCCTTCCCAGTAACGCAACCGTCAATGATCTGACCAATCAGAGCTCTTGCGCAGGTTACCGCTGCCACTTCGTTTTTCGGACTCGCGGGAGTGGATCAAACAGGGCTTACACCCCTGACGACTCAGGGGGTGTAGGATCTCTGTTCGTTTCAGATCCTGCCAAGACGTCGAGGAAAATAGCTTCAAATTTCACACCAAGGGCCCGACGCTCCCAATCTCCCGTGCAGCACCAGATTGGAAGCTGCAGGATGTGGGGGGCGACGGGCTCGTTTCTCTCTTTCTCTAGACTCCGTGGACTCTCTCGCGCATGCGGCACGGCAACACTGTACAATTACACCCAGAAGAAGCACAGTAACACAGTACGAATGAGGCGAGCGCCATCTTGAACCATCTGCTGCAGTGTTCCTTCAGCGGGATGAGCAAGCCACAAAAAAAGACAGAGCCGTAGGGAAAAGGCTCTCATAATTAGCCCAAGGCCAAAAGCCCGGGTTCGGGAGGGAAGCAAGATCGTACACTACTACGCTGTTGTGTCCATACCTGGTCTCGTGATCTCACTTTGTCGCAGGTCGTTTCCCGCTAGACTTTTTATTTATTTATTTAACCGAGTTTTATTTTCCTGATCTACGATCGTGAAATTGCGATGGGCTGGTTCAAGTCTGAGAATGTTTTAGGGATGGGCTAACCTGGGCGCTCGCTGTGTTACGTTGCCGCAAACATGGCCCTGCTGCGTGCGAGCGTCCCAACCCGTGTCGAGAGAAAAAAAAAAAAGGACGGGTACCATCTGGAGTTCATGCGATGATCCAACAAGGGGGAAAACAGGAGGCTCTGCTTGTCGTTCAGGACCAAGATGTTGTATCAGCATCCGAGCGTTCTTTATTTTTCCATTTCCCATGTGACCAACGCGTCTAGACTCTAGAGCACACTCCAACGTCAACGCCGTCGTCTTCAACTGCTTGTCGCGATAATGCAAATGATGACGCCGGTGTTCCCCCCCTCCCTTCTACCCACCATCACCGCCGTTATAGTATGGGATGGGGGGGGGGCATGGGGGGGATAGTGAGTCAATACATGGGACGAAGGGGACGGTGGATATTCCATCTATCTCGAGAGAGATTGACGAACGGTGAGCGTGGGTAAATAGAGTACCGCACATATACGAGCCGCCGGCTATAGTGTTCCTAATTCTGGCAAAAGAGAAAAAAAAGAAGAAGAGATAATATCGATTGTTATGGCCGTCCCTCCGTCAGGTGAAGGTATCATCCATGGAGGAGTCACGATGGCTCTGCCCTGCCTCGGCATCTCCTATACGAGGACGCGCAGGGATTTGGCTGGCAAGACTCAAGGAGGGATGTCTCTGGTTGTCAAGACTCAAGGAGGGATGTCACTGGTTGTCAAGAACGGGCTTTTCGCCCACACTCAAATGAAAACGAGCAGTTCAAAGGAAAACGTTTCCCTGACAAGACAACCCGACCACCCCTCCCCATCTGTCTCTTGTCCATCCCTCCCCTTCGGTTTCTCTTTCTCTCTGGCCGGCCTGCTGCCCTGGACACTCTGGAATGTTGCCTTTAGGTGTGGCTTGTCAATCTTGTCTCTGGTTCCTGGTATTGCCACGAGGTCGGGGGAGGGGGGGGAGGGTTCGAATTCCCTAGCCGCTTTCAACCTGTCAAGCGATTAAACCTTAGGTGTCAGCTGGGAGATTGGCACTTTTTCAAGAATCAACCCACCGGAAAAGAGAGGATCTTTTCCTATGATGATGAGTCCCTCTGTTCGAGAAAGATGTAGCGAGCCCGTCATCCAGTGAGAAGTATGAATTGGGTGACTGACGGCCTGATCCCTGGCACGACGAGGGTCACAGAATGGAGACGAACGTTGAATTTTCCCACGGGACTGGCTACGACGCGTCTCCCTCCCCTCTGCTCGGTCAGCCGCCGACAGATGAAAGCCTGCGCCTACAGAGCGGGCGGCTCTTTGTACGATTGCGTAGTACGGATAATCCGTAGTATAGTTCAAACTTGAGCCTCAAAAGTCGGAGACCTCCTTGCCTCCATTCTTTTCGTCCAAAGGTCCCCTTGTTTTTGGGGAAAAGAGAATGGAGAAGTTGCAAATCAAGATCGGGTACAGCTCCATATTGGCTCTTACCAAGTTAGGTAGGGGCCCATCACTTTCTACGGATACTGAGCCTCTGTAGTCTGCACCTGTTTCCGACAAATTGAGATGAAAAAGTCTCCATCCCGCCTTGCCTGCCCGCGCGCAATTGAACGCCGCAATTGGGGGTCCGGCGGCAAGACCGATAGGAAAACTTGAAGTGACAAGTGGAATCGAGCAAATGGACTCGACGAGGGAGAAACTACAGGACGGCCGCAGCGTTTCGTTGCCGCCGGCTATGGGAGGGAGGAGGAGGAGGAGGAGCCACAAAGAAGGCTGTGTTCGCTGTTCAATGTTCAGAAGGGCAAAGATGGCGAGAGAAGAGCCGTGTCCTTGAGCATGTTTTGGCGGCTAAGGCCGAAGCCGCGGAGGGGACACGCCGCGCACAAAGGGCGGCGGCGGCTGCTTTTAGATGATGGTTCAAACTGAAACCGGTGGTTGGCTGGTGACGGCCGCATCTAGAAAAGGGCACGACCGGGCAAACGCATGCCTGTGGCAGTGGCATGTCGCGCAAGCCCGTCGCCGCGGCGGGAAGGAAGGGGTGGTTGTCTTCTGGTGTAGGTATGGTTCAGAAACATAATGTTCTAGACTGCCACGACCTGCGTAGGGCAACTTGAGTCCCCATCGTTGACGGTGAATGGTGAGTGGTGGGTTTGGGACCTTGGGTTTAATGATTGAAGACCCAGTTGTCGGCAAGGATACTGTCTGATTCACCAGATTGGCTACATGTCAATTGTCAAATGAGAAAGCACGGTCCGGATAATGATGTTCTATAGTGGGCTTGGAATGATGGAATGATCTGCAATCGATACTTGTCAAACTGACTCTCGACGAACCCACGGATATCCACGATCCCGGCCGAGAGAGTCGGAATTTGCCCATACATATTTGAGTGGATGTCATTTTGGGTTTCGTGAGGAATGTGTTATGTGGGCTGGAAATGCTGACTGTACAGAATACAGGAATACTCCGTACGGAGTAGTAGAGCAACCTGAGCAAGGAATCCAGAAGCAAAGCACCTGGCACCACAAGCAGCACCAGAGTCTCGGTATTTTGTTGCAAGGGTGGAGGGGGAGCAAGGAAAGCACAGGACGCCAGGAGGCTCTCGCCTCCAGAGTTGAGCCAGCCACTGCGCCAAAAGTAGCATCAGGCAATACTGGGAACAGCTGGGGGGGGGGGCAGGGCGAGATCTGACAGCCCAAAGGCGAGGCCGCCGAGGAAGGACAGGACAGGACGACGGCGGCTGTTCGGTTACAGAGTTCAGACTCTTCGATATCAGGATACAGCCTCAGCAAGGCAAAGTGCCTGAGAGCAGGACGGAAACTTGGATAGGGACATGACAGGGGTGTTACCCGGAAACATTGGTGGTGATTGGGCGTTTGCGCACCGTAACTTGCGCCCAGCCCGGCGGCGTCGAGCTATGTCTTTTTTGATATGCCTGGCATTTTCCTTCTAGTCTTTTGGATTTACGGTATTAACGATTCCCGTAGTGCCGTATTATGGATACGGGTTCTTCGTACACATGGTTCGAGAGCCGTGTCTGAGTGTTGGTAATAGTGTGTATGATCGCTGTGACCGTTTGTGTGTATGTGTGTGCGTGTGATGTGTAAACATGTCACTTGCATATCACTGAGGACCCAGCTTGATAGGTTGGTTCGGAGTTCTCAGGTCAGCAACTTCAAACACATGGCGTTCATTTCGTAGTGAAGTGGAGCAAACCAACGCATGAGAAGGAGGAAGGACACAGAGGTAGGTATTTCGCTGGAGCACAGGAACTGAGAGAGAGTGAGCCGGAAATAAGCACCCATCAATCGAAGACCGAATCCCGCCGCCACTGCGATGGCGCATTGCTATTCCTGCGTGAACCTGCGACGAGAGAATAGTGTGTAGTGTATGTAGATGGTCCCCTGGCAGATCTCTTCCTGTCTTGAGATTGAGGTGCGGCACCAACACCGGCACCAGCTTGATCAGGGACAAGAACCCCCAAGCAGGTGGCGAGAAATGACGGAGCACTTTATATGCGCAGCAGGCCAGCATCTTTAGTGTTGAATAGTCTCTGATCGACAACTATACCTGTGCGACTACAACTCATCGTGAGGCAAGCAATCGCAGCAGACAAATAGGTACACAGCTAGACATCTACAACACATTGAACAGATCCATGAGCCAGCCCATGAACCAGCAAAGAGGAAGAGGCAAAAAGGATTGAAATGAACTGAATCCAGCAAACCAGGTACGTACCTCGCCTGCACGGCAGGAGTGACCTGATTGGAACTCCCCGGTGTGCCATTGGTCCAAAATTGGCGCCGACCTCTAGACGACGGGCGACTACAAGGCGCATGCACGCGACGGACCACTGGGACTGCGGACCTTTTTTCTCTCTCTCTCTCTCTCTTGCCCTGAGAAGGGTGGTCTATTAATAGACCCCGGTCATGTTTCGCAAAATACGCTCCAGTCACGACGAAGCCCCAATGCCCCACTTCCTGGGGGTGACCCAGGGCAGGGACCCAGGGGATCACTCGCACCAAGCCCCAAGCCATTGACCCCACTTATTCCGTCCTGGGAAGTGGAAAAGTCGTGGTGTGGTTGGGCGGCTCCACTTACGCTGGGCGGTCCCTCGCCAATCCTCTCGTTCTCTCTCACACACACTCAGCAGGTGCAGACCACACACACGCTCTCTCCTGCCGCCGCCTTCTCAATCGCGGGGTGGGGGGAACGGACCACAAAAACTTGGATGAGAAGTACGAAGTAGGTAGGATGAATTGGTGAATTACAAGACGAAAGCTGACAGAGATCTGACTCTGAGATGGAGAGAAGAGGAGAGCCCCAGCCGGCCAGGCCTACCTAGATGGTGGATTGGACCAGTCATTGCCGTTCGTCTGCATCTTGCAGCGCAGCAGCCAGCGGCAGCGGAACACCGGATTCTCGCCTTTGCCCCTCCACCCTCGTTTGCCCATCAGCATCCAGTCAGTCCAGAACTCCAAGCATGCCGGCGTGCTGACGTTCGGTTGCTTCTGTGCTGCTTGTTCTCTGCATATTGCAGGTGTCAGGTCAGAGTAGTCACCACATTGTGTCTGTCCGTTGCTGCGTACAAAGTACCGTATCCACAACAGCGGCACATGCCTGGAAGCAACTGCCACCTTGGGTACGAAGCACGGTAACGGAGTCGAGTTGACGATGGCAGAGCGGGCAGTTCGATACAGACTACTCTGGAGTTTGATGCCTTGTGGACAATAGACTTGGACCAGCGGCGGCGGTGGCCCACGGCTCTAAAACAACAGCAAATCAACCCAAGGACGGGCACCAGTCCAAGTCCTCGTCAATGGCGGCGGGCTAGTCCACGGCTCTTGCGTAGTAACCTCCGGCTACGCCCTCACATACTGGAGCTAAGGGGGGGGGGGGAGGGGTAGCGCTGCGCAGACGAAGAGGCCGTAGACGAGGCCGCACTAACAATTCCCGATCTGACGCCCCCCGCCAGCCAGCCAAAGTGTCGAGATGGAGTTCCATCTTGTGCCTGTCTGAGCCCATGCCTTGCTTTCTCCTCCTCCTCCTCACGTTGCCTTGCCTGGTCTCGCCTTGCCTCGTCTTTGCTTGCCCCTCCAGGCTACCTGGACTCTCTTCAACTGTCTAGGTATCCGCACTCCGTACCCGTACGCGCGACGGGTTCTGGACAGCATTCTGTGACAAAAGGTGCTGGTCGGTGACCAGACAGGGAATTCTGTCACTTGCATCGCGCGCCCTCTCTAGTCTTGTCCTCTTCCTTGCTCTCTCTCCACTACTTCAGCACTACTCCTTACGGGGCCAGACCTTGCTAGTTTCTGGTATATCTCCTCCTCTCGCCGTCGCACGTCTTCTACGTCGTGTGTCGACTACTATGCCAGATACATTGGTGAGAACGTAACAGGTAGGGTAGTCACTTGTGAGAGATGCCGGGTGTGTTCTATTCGTAGTATGCTACTTAATGTAATCCGTACCTTTTTACCTTAACCTGAGAAAAAGGCACACGAAGTAGAAAAGTACGTACCTCGGTAATCCTTACCACCCTGACACACTTTCGCCAGGTGAACCTCAGACAGAAGGCGACAGAGAGAGGGGACGAGGCACGGTACCTAAGGTAGGTACGTACCTGATCTAGTAGGTAAGGTAGTGTACCAGCCGCAAAGGAAGTGGAAGGGAAGGGCAAGAACATGGAAGACAAGGTTCTCAATAGGATAGATATATATGCCTTTGGTGCCTTAGGTACCTCTTGCCGCATGCTTCCCTCCTGCGGTAAAGGTACCTTGCCTTGGCCACTAGCATCCCAGGGAAGTAAGGACCCCTGCCCTGGTCGTCCTCTCGCCCTCAGCCAGCAACTTGATCCTGGGGGACCCTCCCACCACCCGTTGGCCTTGCTTGACTTTGACCAGCATCTCCAGGCCAAACCCAGCCCGTCCATGTTCGACGAGGGCAACTGACTGGGCGACGGACGGCCTGCCCTTTCACCCACTCCAAGTCGCTTGTCGCTTGCGTGCAGGCCTTCACCTCTTGGGTCTTGGGTCTTGGGTCTACCCTCTGCTACGGCCCACACCCCTCCCCCCAAGACCCAAGACCCAAGAGCCCCAAGGGCCCCAGTCACTCACTCTCTTTCCTTCCCCTTCCAGTTGTTGGCCCATCCCCAACTCTCTCGAACCCTTCCCACGTCCGCCATTCACTTCAACTTTCAACCACTTCACCATCTCTCTTCCACCATCTTCCCTTTTTTCCACTCCAATCCCAAACCATCACACACACACACACACACACACACACCCCCCTCTCTTCTTATTCACTACCTCCCCTATTCTCAATTCTACCCATACTCTCTGACAGCAAGCAATCCAAAACCAGCTGCAATATTCTTCTTCCTTCAACCACCTTACCTTACGCATACCCGCCTGGCGATTCCATGCATCCGTATTGACCGGACCGTGCCACATCTCTTCCCACCAACAGCATGTGCTAACCCCGAGCCGCCGTTTTCGTCGTGACCACTAGCCATTGTTTTCTCTCTTTTCCATTTCTCTTCCATCACCAACCAAACTTACTACTCTTCTTCCCTTCGTCCTCCTCTCACCCTCTTCCTACCTCACGAACCACGACGACCATTCTACTACTCTTGCCCACTACCCACAAGGGCCCCCGCCGCATACGAACACTCGACTGACCTATTCCTGTCGCGAGACTGGTCACCTGCCCTGCGCACCCTGCGGCACCGCCCCGAGTACGAGGAGGAGTAAGAGAACAGAGAGAGAGAGAGAGACTTCGGTCCTGCCGAGAGACTTGGACCACCACAACCACCCCGCCGACGACGAAGGACACGAAAGCATCCACGGGATTCAGCAGCGCTGTCCTCCGATCTACAACCAATCGCCCGCCTGCCTACCGGCTTTTTCTTTCCATTCTACAAACTTCAATCGCGACTCCCGCTCCTTCCACGCCAAACGCCGCAATCATTTCTTTAATCATCACGCCAACGTTGCCCCTCGCGGCCTACACAGTCTCGTCCCCCGAGACTGTCGCCAACACGTTTCCCTCGCGCAAGAGAAGAGAAAGAGAAAAGGGATTTGGGCAGCCCATTCAAAAGGTACACAGAACCATGCCGTCAGCAGCGGCAAGAAGGATCTACGAAGATCAGATTCCCTCTTTCATGTCAGTCTTCGATCTCGACGCAGAGACAATCGCCGCTCAAGAGACCGTCACCCTCGTCGACCCCAAATTGATTGACATGGAGGCCACTGGAAAGCCCTTGGCCAACCCGGTCCAGTCCTTGCGACCGACCATGGATCACTCCCACAAGCACCACGACAGCACCTCTACTCAGGCGTCCGAGTCTGCCGAATCTTCGCCTACAACGACCCTCTCAACAAGTGACTGCTCTCCGCTGTCGGATCCGTCCCCTTCATCATCCCCCGATTCTCCCGTCAACTTGATACCCCTCAACTCTTTCCCTGCCACATCTTTTGGCGGTCTTGGTCCATTGACTTCAATGAACACCATGTCAGCGGCAGAAACCACTAGCTTCGGCCGTCCGATGACGTCTCCTTCGCCGCGTCGCCCTAAGAACATGAAGGGACTGTCAATTCAGCCGCCTTTCATGGGAAACAGTGCTTCAACACTGGTTTCCGAGCCCGCGTCGCCCTCTTTCATCAAGCCGACCATCCCAGGCATGAAGCGCAAGCCTAGTCAGCTCAGCCTCAAGACCCAGACGTCAGACTTGGTCATGCGAAACACCCTCGAGGTCCCCGGCACCCCTGGTATGGCGCCTATTTTGCAGAGACGGGCCCTCAAGCACTCAACTTCGTCGCCTCACATACTACCCTCGCTGAAGTCTGCGACTTTTGGCCCCCCGGGTGGAATGACTTTCCCCAAGGTTTTGGAGCGAAACGAGTCGGGCCTTTCAGAGTTTTTGAGGCCGACAAAGACTGGTATCGGCCAGTCGTTCGACACGACGATTGTCGAGGAGGATTCCCCCATCAGAACTCAGCTCGCGAGCCGCGCCGCCCTCGACTTTGAACCGTACCACGAGAACGAGAACAATGAGGACCAGAAGACGCCGGGTTATCCGGATGGCCCCATTGCAATCTACGAAGACAATGTTTACCTGTACTTGGAGCCGACAGCCGACGAAGCCTCCAAATTTGACACCGTCATCAATGTCGCGCGGGAAGTTAAGAACCCTTTCAATTTCTTGCCCAGGTCAGACGAGGTCATGTCGGACTCTCCAGCTGTCCTCAGCCCCATTCCCGACACAGCGGTGTCAAACGCTAGCTTTTCTACCGCCTTTGAGTTCCCGACCAACGACAGACCGGAAACACCAACAACGCCGAAGGCCATGTCATTCTCTATCAAGCGCCCAGAGTACATCCACATGCCCTGGGACCACAACACAGATATTGCGCAGGATCTGATGCATCTCTGTGAGACAATTGAGACACGGACGAAGGAGGGCAAGAAGGTGCTCGTCCATTGCCAGCAAGGCGCAAGTCGATCCGCTAGTCTCATTATCGCTTACGGCTTGTACCGCAAACCCGAGCTCAGCGTCAACGACGCTTACTACGCCGCCCAGGGCAAGAGCAAGTGGATCAGCCCCAACATGAAGCTCATGTACTGCCTGCAGGACTTCCAGAAGCAGATGTCAAAGAAGAAGACCTCGCCTGGTTCCGCCTTCCGCCCGCGAACTGGACGAAGCCCCACGAAGCACCGCCTGACACTCTCTGCCGATGCGGCCATTGACGTTGCACCCAAAGAGCCTCTGACGGCTCCTTTGCCTGGAGAAAAGGAAGGCAGCTCTGGTAGTTCGAGCCCGAAGAAAGGCAGTCCTACCCGGGCCAGAGGCCACTCAACACCCGGCAGTCAGCCAATCTCACCAGGACCGTCGTCAGCGCCATCAAGCTTCTCCTGGTCAGAAAAAGAGAACGACGATTCGGCCAAGTTTGGAAACCTTGACGTGGATCGCTTGATGCCTTTCAAGCCTACGCCGCCAGTTTCGGGCCTTGCACCATCGTCATTATCGTTCTTTGCCAAGCCGCCGCCGTCGCCTGGCCCGCCCCCTTCTCCCGGATTTGGAGCACACCGATTTGGCCCGGCCGCTGGCTTTGGATTTTCTAGTCTGAATCTTGGCCCATCATTAGAACGCGAAGAGGAATTTGCGGCTCCCAAGGACAGACACTTCGTGGTTGGCGCAGTTCCCGACGACGCAGCTCTCCTGTCACCCCGAGCCGAGACGATGACGAAGAACCCGCTACACGACTCCAACCACGCATTTCCAGGCATGCAATTTGCTGAGGTTCCGCCAACTCCAAGCGAAGGTCTGTTCTCGCCTCGAGAAACAATGTTCCCCAGAGATCCTTTCTACCCCTTTGGACGCCCCACCCAGGTTGCCGACCCACGCAGTCCGCCTACAAAAGGTGAAACGCCAATTGTGAGGTCTATCGACGAGCTGCTATGACCGCAGCCAGGACGGAACACACCGCCACTAGTCACTAGCACCAAACGCCCCGGGACCGAACTACCTCGGCGACACTCGGCCGAACTCTGACTCTTGTTGCTATTTTTTTTTTTTGCGACATGGAACTAGTCGAATACACGTGCATTGGACAATGCATCGACTCTCGTTGCAATCAATACGAGGCTGACGGACCTCGGAGGCCTTGGACGATTTCCGAAACAAGTGCACGCCAGGCAGATGATCTCTTCAATTGGAACCGACCGATTCAAAGCATTTACAGGAGTTGCATCGACTATGGCAAGAAACCAAAAATAAGGGCACAAGAATACAGTCAGAATCGTCAACAAATGCGCAGAGGCACATAACCCCCCCCCTCCCCCCCCCTCTTCACGCCGAACACCAGCCAAGCTCAATGGTGCACCCGCCCACCTTGACTTGGCATCTCTTTTGTCATTTTCAAGCCTTTTTTCAGAGCGCAGCGAGTGGCGAAACCCCGATGGTTTTCGTCACGTAACCACTTTGCGGAAAAAGTACCCTACAACCATAAACCAAAATGTGTAATTTAGAATTGCGTTCTCACAACGCAAATATTGGAACGGAAAAGATGGGAGACACGTCTCTCATCGCTTGGACATGGACAGTCAAGGAACACCGGGGATCGGCCATCTTTCTTGCAATCGTTTATTGGCGTGCCCACTTTGGACGAGGGAGTTGGAAGGGATTTTGGTACAGGCTCTTATTTTCATGAGGCACTTTCCCAGCGGGGGCCGGCTCACTTGGAAAGAGGGAACGGTCGTGAGAAGTACTCACAAAGACACCATGCTATTTTCTTGTGTTCGAGGCTTGGGTTTCTTTTTCTTTTTCTTTCAATGTGGTCCATCTACGGATGAGTCTACCACAACGCACATGGAGTCCAAAGGAAAGCAGGAGAGGATGAGACGAGGATACCATAACTGCACGCATGGATGGGGGGGGGGGGGGGTTGGAGGGGGAGCGAGGTAGATGAAATGTAAAAAACGAAGAGCCATACTAAGTATGCATTATCAAGTGCTTCTGATTGTTCCTATGTGAATGTGATCCTATGTATGAGTGATTTACACCAGTTCAATGAAGTGTGTGGATAACAACATCACTTCCTCGTCGTCCCATGTTTGTGTACCTGGAGCAAAGAGTTGGACTTGGCACCCTGACCTTCCATCTTCATTTATGTAGAACGGGGTTAATAGAAACATCCCCCTTTCCCCTTCTCTCACTGCGTCTTCCCAGCAGCCGCGGCGCGCTTCGCAGCCTCCTTGGCCCTCTTCTCCTTGGTCGCGATCTGTGCCTCGGCGCCAATGGCGCCAAAGACGAGGGAGACGCCGGCCCACTGCATGCTCGTGAGGCTGTGGCCAAAGGCGAAGACGGAGAGGGCCATGGTGACCATTTTACGGGTGACTGTGACGGTGACGAGGAGGACCGAGGAGAAGGTGGAGAGGGTGTAGACTAGGAAAGACCGTAGTGTTAGTAGTTGTTCGAAGTGTCACGAGGGAAGAGAGAAGAACATACAGATAAAGACCTGGCCGACGGCGCCGCACGCCGCGAAGCCGAGGACATCCCACCACACGGCGGGGTACCGCGCCATGAAACCCAACGCGGCCGTTAGCTCGCCCGCGCTGCCGGCGACGTCCATGGCGAGGTACTCGCCGAGACCGGTATGAACCAGCCAAGGGCTGAGCACGAGGTAGCCCAGCGTGACGGCCGTGCTCATGAGGTTGTTGGCGCACATCATCTGCGGGCCGGTGTACCCCTTGAACGTGCTAAAGATGTAATCCTGGGTGCTGTTGGTGAGGCCGTCAAAGAGCAGGTTGATGCTGAGCAAGAGCATGCCCCAGGGCATGTTGGCGTCCGGGTTGACGACGGACTTCTTCTTCTTGCTGCCCGAGTGCAGCGTGAAGACGGCGACGCCCGCCGTGACGCCCGCGACGACGAGGTACTTGTACAGCGGGTAGCGCTTGCCAAACAGCGTCGTGTGGAGGAGCATGACGGGCACGAGCTTGCAGGATTTGGCGAGCAAGAAGGTGATGTAGTCAATGTGCGCCAGGGAGGCGTAGCCAAAGGGCGAGGCGAGGGAGGAGGTGACGGCGACGAGGGCGAGGGGCATGACGATGCCGCGCGAGGGGAAGACGGGCGGGAGGGAGGCGGCGTTGCGGGAGGAGAACCAGAGGTAGAGGAGCCCCGTCGTCGCGGCGAAGAGGGACTGGATCGTGTTGAGGAAGACGGGGTACTTGAAGACCTCGGGCTTGGCCGTCGGGCCGTAGGGCGTCGTCGTGAGCTTCTCTTGGAGGTAGGCCCATGTCAGACTGCGCGAGATACGTTGTCAGCAATGCGCGGGGCGTGAGGTATTCGAGGGGGCATAGGGCGGGGGGAGTGGCAAGTAAGGCCCAGGACGTACAAAGAGGCATAGATACCGCCCACGGCAATCAGGATTTGGAGTGCGCCGGCCTCCTTTGCTTCAACAACTGCAGCCGCAGGTGTAGCAACAACCTTGCCATTGGTCTCCTTCGCAGTCACAGAGGTTACGGATCCATTGCCATTGCTGGGCGTCCGCTCGAGGGTGTCGGCTTTGCTAAAATACTCGGAGGATGTCTGCCGACGAATAGGGGTGGCCTGCTTCGAGCGCGCCATTGCGTCGCTGTTTTGTTTTCTTTGGCCGGGACTCGATTCGCTCGAATAGTATGTCGTGTTGCGCAAACTGGCGTCGAAAAAGAAGAAAGCTCGAGTATGGTTGCGCGACTCGATGCCGTTGAGCGTGTACCGTGGGCGCGCGCGCAGCTGAAGGGGCGGAAAGGGAGCCAGGGAAACGAAGTTACTGCAAGGGAGCGACAACGACTGGATGTGAAGCTTCCAACAATGCAAGCTCGAAAGGAAAAGGTGTCTGTTAAAGAGAACGAAAGTACTACGAAACCTCAAGTTTGAGCAATAGGAAAGATAGACAACCCGAGATGTGGACACGGAGACAAGCGAATGCAGACAGCAGACGTCAAAGAGCAGCTGGGCAAATGACAGGTTGGCTTCATCCCAAAATAAAAATAAGGTGGAGAGCTTACCCGTTGCATCTTCCCCCGAGTTCCCCCCCAGAACCACACCTACAATCCACGCACACCACGCTGCACCCCTTCCGCCCAAGCCTCTTCAGGGTCCCTCCCCTCCACTGCTTGTTTGCCGCCGCCCTAACCTTATCAGGAATCAGCCCAGCCCGGTGTCTCCTCTCCGGATCGGCATTACAAACACTTATCCCCAAAACCCCGCTTGACATTGGCCAATCACATCGTGATCGCAAATCCATCCTGGAGGAGATTCGAGACCTTCCAACGGTCAATTCAAGCCTATCCTTCGAGTGAAGTGTCTTTAGAAAATGACCAGCTACCATTGTGGGTACCCAAGTTGATAGAAGAAAAGGGCGCGATGGCTTCTGTCGCTTCACCTCCAACACTTTCGATAATTGGACAACAGAGGAATGGATGTCGTACTCTCCTGTAGATCACGAATTCAGCGACGTTCACGGCAAGGTTTCAAGATACAGCAACGGCAACAAGACACAAATTTTATGAGCGGCCTTGCTCAAACGTGTTAATTTGCCTAGCTATGAGTCGGATGTACTATCTAGAATCCTCCTGGCATTGGAAGTCCATACCAAGAGCGTAGAGAGTTCCATAGCCCAAAAACCGGCTGGAAAACACAGGCCGCCGAGGATATCTTCGGTCCAGTGAGAAATCGTGGCGGGTTGGGGTTGGGTAAACAGGGTCGGGGGTAGAGTTGCTGGCCGATTTTCATTACTAATGTTTTTGAAGCAAGCAACTCTGCTTCAAAGAGGTATCCGCATGGGGTAATCATAAGTCGTGCCGTATGTTCGGTTTGGAAAGGCTGAATACAATCCCGGTCCGTAGACTTAGGGACCTCTGATGCCTGCCCAAACGTAGACCGGAGGACCATCCTCCCAAAAAGCAACTCAAAGCGTTCAAGAAAACGGAAAGTGAAAGTTGTTGTGGTCCCACCCCGGCGACCATTCTTGTGCGCATGTCTGGGGATCCTTGGCCCAGATATTCGAAACTCGGAAAAAAAGCAACTGAAAAAGTGTTTTGTCGCGTCCCAGAGATGATGTGCTGAAGTATGACACTTCTCATCTCAGATATTGAGCCTTGCGGCCATTGTCTGCAAGTACCAGCTCCTGAGGCTGGATGACGAACTGAAAAGGGACGATTCTGAAAACGCTTTTTTACTCAGGGGAGTTGGCCGTCTGGCGGCGCATCTTCTCAGCCTCAAGGTTCTCGTAGAGCAGGAAAAGCGCAGACTCGTTAGCCTTGGAGGTACCCATGATGGTGAACATGCGTTCGCCACTCTCATCGTGGGGAGCCTAAACAGGTCAGTAATCTTGAGCATGGAATTGTGTAGTAAAGAGGTATCATACCTTTGCGATAGAGATGCGGGCACCCGAGGTCTTGCGGATCTCGGAGATCTTGCTTCCAGCACGGCCAATGATGCAACCGACCATGTCAGCAGGAATGCTGATGTTCTGGGTCTGAAGCTCCTCGCCATTCTCGTCGTGGGTGGGAGGGCCTCGGGAAGCAGCATCGGAGTCGGAACGACGGCCGTAGGGACGACCGCCACTGCCACCACTGCCGCCGTTGTTGGTAGTGGTGCTGAAGTCGGCACCGTTTCCAGTGCGCATGACGCGGGGAGAAGAGTACTCTGAGGCGCGACCGCCACCGGAAGAATAGTTGGTCGATCCAGTGCTACCAATGGTGGAGGTTGTGCCCGGCTGGGTGCGAACGACCGGGTTATAGAGGACGGTACCGGTGCCTCTCTGCCAGTCATCGACGAGGCACTTGCAAATCTCCCAAATTGCACCCTTGATACCCTCGGGAGTGCCTTGGACCTCGACAATGCGCTCAGTTGACTGAGGCAGCATCTCCTTCTGGGCGACCATGCGGACGCCCGACACATCCTGGATGTGCTTAATCTTGAGACCTTGGCGGCCGATGATGGTACCCATCTGGTTGTGGGAAATCAGGAGCTTGATGGCTGAGATTGTAACGTTAGCGATATTCTTCTATGCGCGCCACATGAGACAAACTTACGATGAGTGCCAGTGTTGGAGACGACACCTCCCATGCCCATGGCGGGAGCGCCCTCGAGGAGAGCGCGCGCGACAATCGCATAGGCCTCAGAAATGGCCTGGCAACCACCGGTGATGGTGAGAACACGGTCGTGAACGCCCTGGACGACCTTGCTCACACCAGCCTTGACGCCAGTCTCGTCGCGAAGTTCGGCGACATTCTTGCCAGCCTTTCCAATGATGACACCGGCCTCCTTGGAAGAAACAATAGCTCTCAGGGTGAGCTGAGAACCGGCGTACTCCTCGTCGGTGCGGGGCGCGGGCTCGCCGTCAGGGCCAAGACGGGTCTCGCCGTCATCGAGCTTCAGCTGGTCGAGCGAACCGACGAGGTCGTTGCCGTTGGCAGCAATGTTATCCTGGGTGGAGGACATTTTGAGCAATTCGAAATGTGCTTGGGGCAATTGATTCGAAAGGGGATTCTGAACAAAATATCGCAATTAGTACAGTAATCCAACAAAATGTCCAAAAATGGGTGAAAAAGAAAGTGGTGTAGTGGGAAGGAGAAGTGAAAAGCAAGGGAGGGTGAGAATCCAATATTTGTAGAAGTTGTGGTTTCGACCCGTCCAGGACGATCCAGAGCAAGCACAGCGACTTCCCCACCCAAAGACGCGTGAAAGGTGAAGAGGAAAATCGACATCACCTCCCGACCGTGGGCGGTAGCACGTAGCCGTGGTAGTAGGAATATTTTATCCCATATTCAGGCGTACCCGTCTCCAGGGTCACCCGTCCCTGACCCTGACACGTCCTGGTAGACGGCCAGAAGCTCTTGCACATACAAAGTGGGGGTAATGATGGCGCGGGGTGGTAGTTTTGTGTGGTGCAACTTACTGTGGTATTTTCCTGAATTATTTAGCAGGAAGGTACTGGCTGCAAGTGGTGGAGCTGCTGACGTAGAAGCGTGAAACTTGTAGAAATTCAGCTGTCAAGCAATAAAGCAGGACGTTAGTGAATTGAAACCGTAGAGCAGTAGCTTCGGTCTGGAGAGGTTGGTAGGTTGGAGTGCGTTGGTGCAGCTCGTTTGCGGCAGCGGATGTGTAGTTGCGTCGTCGGCAGGGGAGGATGAGGTGGTGGATTGAAGTGGGTGGTGGATCGGGAAAGTTGGGAGATGGAGGGGTAGAGGAGTAGAGGAGTAGACGGGAGAGAGAGGTAGAGGACTCGGGTGTGGACGAGAGGTTGAGAGTGGGAGTGGGAGTGGGAGAGTTGAAGAGGCGGTTGTGAGAGGAATTTTTTTGGAAGAGTTGGTGAGGTGAAGAGGTGGAAGAGGTGAAGAGTTGGGGGCCGGGAGAGAGAAGTGAGGTCCGTCGTGGAGAGTGAGGTGAAGGAAAAGAAGAGTGGGAGTGGAAAATGGGAGGAGAAAAAGTCGGTAGGTAAATGTGAATGTGTGAGAGCGATGGGAGGGAAAGTGCGCCTCAGTATTTTTTCCCACTCCTTCTTTTCTGGATGGGCTGGGAAAAGTAAAGGTAGAAGGTACTTACGATAATGTGAGTTGGAGTAGTAAGACAGGTGTACCCGGTCTGGCTATTGAAGGCGGTTGTTGGTAGTGGTTGTGTAAGGTACCTGTAGGTGTGCAGGGGAAAGAATTTGGGGGAGCTCTTTGCTGGAAGGTCAAGAAGGGACTGTTCTGTGAGGGGCCTGAGTGGGCAGGAAGACCAGGCAGGTACGACAGTGAATAGAGGCAAGCGCATCCAGACTCCAACGCTGGCTACCCGTGGACCCACCCTGCAACACTTGATCACGTGTACCTCAACGGCGGAAGTTGGCAGTAGCAATACATGTCGCAACGCTAGGGCCATCGTCACAGCAAGTATCCTGCCCCTCCTGCACATGCTTCCCAAGTGGTATCTTGCCTGTACTCCTCCTTGAGGTTTGGAAGGTACTGCACCTTGGACGGGACCCCTCCACGCCACATGGAGCTTACCTAGCACTTGGGCTCCTTCCTTCCGAGGGGCACCTCACTCAACTTTCAAGTTGCCGTTCACGTCCGGGCGGGCTTCAAGAAACTGGAAACACCACCCTTCACCTTATTGCCATTTCCCGTCTTCTCTGGCACTCACGGATGCGACTTTGGGATATGCGGCAAGACCAGGTGTGAGGTAACGACGGAAGATGGAGGGGACGAGACACCAAGCAACTACCTTACCTTACATCCAAGCTCTCTCCCCTCCAAAACCCCTCGACTGTCTCAATCTTCACCTTAGCCTACTGGCCACCATCACTTCTCCGCGAACAACACGCACGCCATACTCGAGAGCTGCGATGCCTCACCTCAGCACACGAGGATAGACCTGTTCATCTATCTCTCCCTCTGTCTCTCACACCACTTACACCTCATCGATGGTGGGGTGCAAACTTTGGCTCAGGGCCCTCGTTCAGGCGGCCTCTTGGAGTACATGTCAGTACCCTTACATAGTTAGTATTGTAGCTCTCCCTCGGACTGATCCCCGCCAGGGCACACGACAGGGAAGAAGCATTCCCGACCGTCTCGAATCGTCTCCCATTCCAGGGTTGAGTCTTTCAACGTAATGCGCATTGCTAGCCTACCTGGGATCTGGTGGTGCCTGACCCGGCCGCATCGGAACTTTCGCTGGAGAGCATCCAGATCGAACAAGTGTCCAATCCAACTTGGCATTTTTTACCCAACCTGCGACACGCGACATGCGACCAGACGGCTCTTGTGGCCGTCACTCGTCTCGCTCGGATCGCAATCGCAGTACTCCGTCGTCTGCACTTCAATGACAGATAGTTCCTCAGAGCTGTCGCAGGCTCGAGCCGCAGCGCATCAAGCGTCCCAAGCTTCAGGAACTGACCAATTCCCCAACACCTCCTCCTCCTCCAGCATGGAACGGGAACGCTCCGATCAACAAGGGAACTTTGCTGCTCCACCCGTCACCGCGCTGCGGCGCTGCAGTGTGCGTCAACGGTGTCCAGCGCGGGTACAAATGACTTTGATTGCTTGGCTCCCCGCCATCTTTTTCTTATTTACACGCCGAGCGAGCGGCCGGTTAGTGCGGCCGACACTTTAGCGAAACGGTACCGACAGATCCAGCCTCCCACTCGTCCCGGTCTCAAAACGCTGTCCATCGCCCGTCAAAATCGCATGTCAGAAATCCCATTGGAGTTTGCGCCTGCGCCGCATTGACTCGGCTCATACAAAGTACATGACACCCAGTATCCGCATACCTATCTGTCAAGTTTCTCGGCTTTCCTGTGACAGAAACAGAGCTCCCTATTTGGTGTAACTCGAAGCCACACACTTTGCTGCCCGGACTGCACGGGAAAAGCAATCAAGACCTACTATTCGTTCAATGCCAGCCTCCCCGCTAACCGGTCACCATACGATGCCGTTGCCGACATTTGACTAGTGTCCGGCCATCCGTCGCTGCTGAGACCCTAGCTCTCAGAGCCGCGATGCCAATGGACAGCCTCTGAAGACTTTGCACCTTCAGCACTCCGGATTGGCCAACCGAGGCAGCTCAACAGCGGGGTAGATGTACCGTCGACACATTCAGTAGCAACCCTCTCATCCAATGCCATTCACTAACCATGGTACCTCTTCCTTGCCCTTTGATAAGCTACAGCTCAACGCGGGCTACCTTGCCTGAATACAGTATACACGGTTGGCTCACCGACGGAGACGCTACAGAATTTCGGTCAGTATCCTATCCCGCAACTCCTCGCCTGCCCCTCCGAAAGCTACTTGCCCACCGCAAAGATGAGTAAAACAATTTTGCGCATGTTCTTTTCGGGGCACCACTTTGCCCGAGGGCCCCGCCAGTGAAGCTTCATATGTAGACATGTCCCATTGCACGCGACCACCTCAACGGCGGGGAGACCCTTACATGTAATGATAACTAGCAAGCGGTAGACCATCTAGACGCGTATTGTCATCAGCTGAGATAAATCAACCTGGATGGCCTTGATACTTTTTTTTTACAATGAAAAAAAAAAAAAACCTAGCCTCCCAATCCATATAAATGAAGCACTCGAGGTATCATGTATGTGCAGTGAAGTTATATACACGATGTGGAATAAATCCCGTCCGTCACTACAACCTCCCTCTTTCTGTCTCCCTTCACCTCTGCCGCAACTGCTTCTCGTGCTCAACCCAAAAGTTCTTACAGGCCCTGTGACCCCAATGCTCAACCCACCACTCCCCAAAGCTGTCCTCGACCTCAAAGTCCACCTTGCTCACCCGCTCGTCGCGCTTCAGACCGCAGATGACGCACGGCTTGGGCGCCGTGGGCACCACCTTGGCCGTCGAGACGGGGATCGTCTCGTTGAGCTCGGGCACGCGGAGCTGGTCGTTCTTGGCGCCGGGGGTGGAGTTGGCCGCCGCGACGGCGGACCGTAGCCTGCCGACGTGCTCCCTCCACACGCCCACCACGTCCGCCGCCTCGCGGTCCTCGCGCGCCGACTGCGCTTTATCCACGCCCGCGAGCTTCATGCCCTTTGCGCCGGCCGCGGAGATGGCCATGCCCTGGGACAAGAACTTGTCGCGGTGCCAGCGGAGTTTGCGGCCTGCGATGACGCGGGCGGCGACGGTGGCGAGCAGGAGGTAGCCGCGGAGGAAGACTACTGTGCTCGGGTCTTCGAGGATGCGTTTCCGGATGGGCGCGGCTAGCTGGGATGTGGGTTTGAAGAGGGACGAGTTTGCGAGATCGAGGAGCTGGGGGAAGATGGAGAGGATGATGGAGGGAGGGGGAATGTTGATGGGCGGCGGGGCGTCGTCGGGGATATTTGAGGAAGCTGATGATGTTTCTTTCTTAGGTCTAGGTGCTGCTTTCTTGGTGGTGCCGGTGGTGGGTTTAGGAGCCGGAGCTGGGGCGGACGACTTCACGCCATCGACTGCATCCCAGTCCCAACTCTCTGGGGGCCTGGAAGAATCAATCGCCGAGGGCTCATCGTCGGGGAAGTCCTCAAAGTCAGGCCACTCGTCCTCCTCCTGCGTCTTTTGAAGATTAGTGGTAGCGGAAGGCTTCTTGGCGGCGGACGGCTTCGTGGGCGAGGTCTGCCCGAAGGCCGGCCACGCCGTGACGGGCGTAGGCGACTCGGGCTTCTCGTCCTTCTTTTCCTCCTTCTTGAAGTCGCCATAGGTCGGCGTGGTGAGGCCGAGTCCTGGAAAGGGGTTACGTTCCTGGAAGGAGGGCGACTTGGGGGCCTGTGGGTAATGTGAGGTGGGCGCGTTGAGGTTTAAGGAAGAGATCTGAGGCCTCTTTGGCGGAGGCTGCGAGACCGGGATGGGGTCGTCGTCGAGAGAGAGGAGGTCCATGGAAGGCGGCTGCTGCTGTGCGGGCTGCGGCGGTGGCTGTCGTTGGGTCGGCGGCCTTGAGTCTAGAGTAGGGCTCATGTCCGCGCCGGGAAAGGGAGTCTGAACAGTCTCAAAGTCTCCAAATTCATCATCATCATCGTCGTCATCATTGTCACCCTGGAGCTCGAATTCTTCCGCATCAAAGAGAACATTAGGATCCGACTGTTTCGCGGGCTTCGGACTCGGCTTCTTCTGAGCCCCGTACATATGATGAGAGAATCCAGGGCTCGGCTGCGGTTTCGCCGAAGATGTCTCGGATGAGAATCCTGGACTGACTGCCGGTTTCGTGCTCGCAGTCTGCCACGATAGTACGGGGCTAGGCTGTCGGTTTGTCTGCTGCCATGAAGATCCTGAGCTGACCACAGGTTGGTGGTTCGGCGACGGGAGGCCGGGACTGGGTATGGGCGACAGGCCCGAGCCATAAGGCATGTCGACGATGTTGACGAGGTTGTTGGTCATGAGATCAAAGGTTGAGGCGCGCGCGATGCGGTTCCTAGGCGGCGGTGATGACCTCGCCTTGTTCGTCTGCGGGGGCATCACGAACGAGCGCTGGGTGGGCGTAGGTTCCGCAACCTCAAAGTCACCCCATCCATCATCATCCTCGGCGTTCAGCAGAGTCTGCTTCGGCTGCTGGTTCGATGTTGACGAGGAGGTGAAACCTGATGAAAATGCGCCGAAATCACCCCATCCACCGCTGCTGCCGCCGCCGCCAGCACCACTTGGTTGCTGCGGCTCAAAACTAGGCCATGGTACGGTTTGCTGAGCCGGAGCCGGAGCCGCCGCGGGCTTGCTGCTGACGCTGTTGCTGGTAAAGGAGGCAAAGTCAAAGAGGTCCGTCGACGTTGCCGTAACCTGCTGCGGGCGTTGCGGTTGTGACTGTTGGCCCCCCGGTTGATTTTGTTGTGACGGAGGGCTCTGATAGAAGCTGTCGAGGTCCAAGAGATCGGCACTCATTGCATCGGCTTCGTCACCTGTGAATACGCATGCTTTCTGACCCAAGTTGATAATGGGATTGTGTCCTCACAGGACTTGAGGTCCGAGTGTGAGGAGGTGAAAAGGAGATGTTGACGTTGGGCGGGCGACGATGAAGGAGACAAAGGAGGTTTGTCCGTATCCGTAGACTGGGACGGGATAATTGACCTCTTAAGATCAGGTTAATCAAATAGGGGATCGCCCGCTCGGCAAGAGGCACCGGTCAATGGGGCTGAGAGGCCAAGGGAGGTTCCACGGGGCCGGGATTGACTGAGTAGGGCGGTTGAATTGAGCTGAAGTGCGGGATTGGGGGGGGGACATCAGAACGCGGCAGGGCCTAAAAGGTTCGGGTAGTTCCTTGCAGAGCGCCACAGCCACAGTTACTGCTACCAGATCCTTGGCCAAGACATCTACGGTGAGTCCGTTCCCTGGAGACGGCCGCCCAGCCCTACAGCATGGAATGCTCTGCACTGGGCTTCCGTCGATACAAATTGAGGTATGGATGATGGATCTTGCTCTCATGTAACCCGTGCCCATACCTAAGGTTATTATGGTAGGTCTTATGAAGTAGTACTCATAAGTAAATGGATTAATTGTGGTGGAATCGATGTCTTTCCTTCTTGCTCCATTGTTAGCTGTAATGTAAACTAGGCGCCCACTCATTTTGTTATGGTTCTTTAGTAAAGAAGTTCTGTTTGAATATGTATCATATTTTTTGATCATGGTACATATCCATTCAGAATTGATAAAAAGAAGTAAATTCAATGGGAAAGTTCAAGATCAGCAGGCGACACCCTTCCATTATGACGGGCCCCTGGCATTTCGGGTGGCGCTGTCAAAGGTCGGCACGGAGCTTAGACCACGCCGATTACGTGGGGGTCTGGCGCAGAAAACTCCCATTGAGCTCCAAAAATTTCGAGGCCAGGGGTTTCACGTCTGCTAGAGTCCTCCATCAACAAGCTTCAGCTCCAGTGCCGACACCTTTGCGATCGCTCACCATGTCGTCGCGAACGTTGGCATCGCTATGCCCCAAGTGTCATTTGACATTGCGACCGCAGCCCTTCCCTCGCTTGACGACTTCGCCATGGTTTACACAAAGCGCCGGCTTCCGCTCAGCAACTAAGGGAAAGCCATCACGGATGGTACTTTCAGACGATGTTGCACGACCCCGAGACCGAGAGGCTAGACCGCCGAGAAGACAAGTTGAAGGGCCCTTTGGTGGCATGAACCAAACGTTTGCGAGAGTCCCCGAAAGGCGCACGGCGCGTCCTCCCAATGCTAGGGATTCGAGAGACTCGAGAGACTCGAGGGGAGGCTCTTCAAGCAGGTACAGCAGAGGCGATTCCCAGACCTCTTCCGATCCGAGAAAGGCTTTGAAAATGCAACGGTCTCTGGCGGGTGTGTCATACGGAAAGAGAAACGTTTTGAAGGATAAGATGCAAGAATACGAGTCTTTCGACCAGTTCAACCTCTTGCCCGTTATGAAGGACGGCATCAAGGATGACCTGCTGCGAGGAATGGTGGACCTCAAGCCTACGCCCATCCAGAGACTTGCTATTCCGGCCATGCTGGGCCAGTCTAGCGCATTCAAAGTCCGGGGCGTGAAGAGGCAAGACTTCCTCCTTGCAGCCGAGACGGGTTCTGGCAAGACGCTGGCTTACATGCTACCGGTCGTCAACGCCATGAAGATCGCCGAGGAGGCCAACCCCGAGATCCAGTCCTTCATGAAGCGCTTCCAGGAGGAGAAGGAAAGAGAGCAGAAGGCCAACAAGGGGCCAAAGTCAAAGAAGATGTCTGCATTCGACGAGCCTCACCCGACCATGGCTAGACCTCGCATAATCGTCCTGGTCCCTTCAGCAGAGCTCGTCGAACAGGTTGGAAAGGTGGCAAAGACTCTGTCGCACGCTGTCAAGTTCAAGGCGGAGGTTCTTTCTGCTAACCTCAAGGCGCTGACGATCCAGCGCAACCTGTACTCGCCTCGTGGTGTCGACATGGTCGTGACGACGCCTCACCTGCTAGCCTCGATTGCCGAATCTGATCCCAACGTTCTTTCTCAAGTCACCCATCTGATTGTCGACGAGGCGGACTCGCTCTTTGACCGAAGCTTTGCCCCTGTTACCACGACCATCGTCGACAGGGCGATGCCGTCTTTGAAGCAGTTCATCCTCTGCTCAGCAACAATCCCCAAGAGACTGGACAATTACCTCGCAAACAACTTCCCCGACATGACGAGAATCACGACGCCGAATCTTCATGCTATCCCCAGAAGGGTTCAGCTCGGTGTCATCGATGTTGTCAAGGACCCCTATCGCAACAACAAAAATCTGGCCTGCGCCGATGCCATCTACACCATTGGCCGAGAAGCTTCCAAGCACGAAGGTCCGATTCAAGGTGAAATCGACGTCCGCCGAATCATGGTGTTTGTCAACGAGCGCGAAAAGACAACAGAGGTTGCCGAGTATCTTCAATCCAAGGGCATCGATGCTGTTGCGTTGAACCGAGACTCGGCTGAAAGTCGCCAGTCCGAGATGCTGCAAGCATTCACTTCATCAGAACCTCTGCGCGCCGTGACATCGCCAGAGTCCGCCGTGCCAGGCAAACGATCGCTGCCCAATACCAAGGTTATTGTTGCCACCGACTTGGCTTCCAGAGGTATTGACACGTTGGCTGTCCGTCACGTCATTCTTTACGATGTCCCGCACACCACCATTGACTTCATCCATCGCCTGGGAAGAGCTGGTCGCATGGGACGACGTGGAAGAGGCATTGTGCTTGTTGGCAAGGATGACAAGAAGGACGTCGTTGCCGAGGTTAAGGAGAGCATGTTCATGGGTCAGGCACTCATTTAGTGGCCACTCAGGACACAGACAAACAAAAACATTGTACAACAATCATGTAAAACACCTTGTATACCACTGAAAAAAGATAGCGTCGAGGTAGGTAAAGGGATGGGATGATGCACAGATACCTGATATACATTCGGCTCAGGAGACACAATGGCTAAGAGCGAGGTCTCAGCTCCCTAATGAACCATTTTCTACCAACCAATAGACCAAGCCATTGCTAGCAACACGTCCCTCCGATAAACTTCGACAACGTCATGCATAACGAACTGTGAGTCTGTGACAGCTTGTTGACAGTTTCTCCAAGTCAAATTGTGGCTGGTGGTGTGGCGCTAGCTCTCTGCTTTCAATTTGGGGGTGGGTCGCGAACTGGGTCTAGCAAGGTTCGAGTTCGCGACGCGTCCGGCCTGCAGGCGTTTCCCTCCCACACCACATCAGAATATAACAGACCCTCCCCCGTCCCATCACTATAGGTCGCAGCCTGACGGCCCGGTCTACACATTCGTACGACAATCCTTCACGACAACTTTACATAGTATTGGTTAGCTGTTACCCAAAGCTTCCTATAGCTTCCATCAACGACGACCGCCCGCCATGCCACGACCCAAGCGAGCGCGTCGCGCTCCAACTCAGCCAGTCGCAGCCGTGCCCGCCGCCGCGCCTGAAGCAAGATCGAGCCCCGCGCCCGCCTCGGGCAGCGACATCTACAGCCACAGCGATCGCGAACATTCTGTCATCAGGAAGGAGCTTGCGGATGAAGACACATCTCTTTTCAAGGAAGGCCCGTCTACGCGTCTAGGCAGGAGTTCTAGCTTGCGCCAGAGGCAGCTGCCAGCCAAGGCGCGTCATGCATGGGACGACAACATGAGCAAGCTGGAGGACACAGTCGAGACGGTGGTTTCCAAAGGAAAGACTTCCAGCGAACAGCAGAAATCGGATTCGTCGGTCGAAGCGGGACGGAAGACACGCGCGACGCATGTTCAGCAGCGCAGGGACACGACTGGGTTGGATTTGGACGACGAGATGTTTACAGGGCTTGACACTACTCTCGGCGACGACGACGATGATGCCGCTGCGCCTCCAAGTGCGCCGCGGTCTGAAGCCTCAAATATCAGTGTCAGCCACTTTAGACGAAAGGGTCGCGGTCGCGCGCCGAGTATCAGTATCAACAAGGACGATGCGCCTATTAGACCAAGCAGTCGCGGGGTCGGTGGTACACCGAGCATTAGCTCGACCTTCAACATCGGTGTATTCAAACGCCGTCAACGAGAACCGAGTATTCTGGGCACGGCGCAGAAGGAGCGCGCACAGCGGCCGATTGAGTTATCATCCGGATCCGAGTCCGATGACGAGGATGGTGAAGACTTTGAACCCGAGGCCGAGTCGACGCCTCTTCAGAATCGCCGCAGAACACAACCTCCCGCAACTGACCTCGAGTCAGAGTTGCAACAGGTTCTGGCGCCGGATTCCCAGCCCGCCGAGAAGGATGCTGAGCCAACAAGCGCCAGCTCACGAAAGCGAAAGAGCATAGAAAGCCACGAGGACACTGAGCGTCCGGGAAAGGCGTCGCGGACTGAATCTGAGCCCGCGCCTGAGTTGGATGATGATAACGATGACAGCGATTCGGAACTCTCTGAGCTGCCTTCTCCTGTTCTGACTCCCACCAGGCCTTCTGCTTTCCCGCGGCCAGCCACTCCGAATCAAGAGGACATTATGGCACCTCCCGAGAGCAGCGACTCGGAAGATAACAACGAGGCGTGGCCCGACATTCGCACACTTGCCAAACAGCGCCGCCGCCAAGCGCCAGCCACACCAACGCGGGATGGCAACATCTCCGATGCCTCCTCGCCGCCTTCTCTCACCCACTCGCCCAACTTCCCGGCGACAAGAAATAAGTCTAAGCAGAAGAAGCAGGCCAAGGCACCGAAGGTTACGACTGCTGATTTGACGGGTTTGCTGCCGCGTAGGCGCACCAAAAAGCATCGAGGAGACCCTTATAGCATGGATAACTCTGACGATGAGGAAGCACGCAACTCCGACGCCTCCCAAGATGACGACGAGCTTTCATACGCAGATACAAGAACTCGCTCTCGGCGGGCAAAGACGACACCTCTCAACCGCAACACAGCCAACAGGCCACCATCCCGTGGCGGTCGAGCCGCAGCGGCGGCAGGAAAGGCGAAAGCAGCGGCACCAACCACTCGCGCATCTACGCGCACTTACAGCCGCAGACTTTCGGACAAGGAGAACGAGGGCGAGGGCGAGGGCGAGGTTGAGGGAGGAGCCGAGGCTGAGGGGGCTGAGGTAGAGACTGGAGCGGAACTTGAAGCGGGATTCGAGGGTGACAGCTTCGCCCCCGTCCGAGATGACGTTCTCGAGAGCCAAGAGAGCAGCGATCCCGCGCGCAGTGCCGATGAGCTGAAGAAGGCAACACGCAAGTTTAGGGAAGTTGACCGCTGGCAGCTCGAGTTTGAGGAAATGACAGAGGGGTCATCGCCCAATCGAGATGCGCGGTGAGAAGCGACGGGAGGGCAAAATTGTGTTCGACATACCTTACTTTGACGGATTGCTGGCTTGGTGGAACAAAATGGAGGGCACGGTGTTTCTGAGGGACAAGGTGGGAGTTTTTTGCGCATATTTATGTTCATGAAGTCGGCAAGAACTTGTACGGACTGGATTGGGAGTGTTGTTACCCCGTGGATTAGCTGATGTTGAGCTCTGGCGTATACGCTGCGTTTGTTACCTTGTTGATGGTTTAGCGTCTGACGCGGTTCATCATTTACGATTACCCCAGAGAGACCGTATTTAAGTGACACAAACAGAGCTTAATTCATTCTTCGCAAGAACTGGTATTGATCATTTGAGCTTCTCGAGGCAAGTGCGATATACCTACAATGCCGTAAAACTTTTCCCTGATTCGTCCGAAACGCCTTTCCTGGACCCATAACGCCAGCCGTCCCCCTCGCAAGGAGGGATAGTCTTATGAAGCAATACCCGAAGGATGGAGAACACTGTCATCATTTCTTGAGGAATACGCTCTGTACCGTCTGCTCGACAGTCGGCAGCAGATTGTAGAGTAAGTTTGGATCCCGCAGCGCGATGACGATGTCATCCGGCAGCCGGCCCTCCATGAACAGCGACTTTGCGGAGTTGTCAGTTAGCATTTTTCAATATCGTGTAGCAGAAACACATGGCAGTAATTCTCAAACGAATTAAGGGGCAACGAAGAGAGGGACTTAAACTCACCCGCTTGACGCTGTCAAAGCTATCCTCCTTGGCCGTGTACTCCCGAATAACCTCGTCCGTCTCGAAATCGACGTACACCCTCGTGTCCCGGATCCGCACAATCACGTTGTCGAGCCGCATAAAGAGCCTGCACAGCAGCAGCATGCGCTTCTCGTGCACGCGGACTTTTACGCTGACAATGGAGATGCCGTTGTCGTCGAGCTCGCTCTCGAAGAGCACCACGTCGTCAAAGAAGAGGATCGGATCGCGGCGCTTGAGGAGTTCGAGGGGGATCATCCTCGTCGTCGTCTCCTCGAGCTGATTTTTGTTCTTCCCCGCCTCTCCTTGCTGCGCACCCGCGGAGCCCGCGCTACCCGTAGGCTCCTCCAGTGTCCCCCGGTACTCGGTCGAGTACGACCAGTCATACGGCTTCACGACCTCCTTGATGCCCGCGCTCGTCTTCTCGCGCGAGGACGACCAGTCGCGCGCGTAGGCGACCTGCAGCATCTTCTTGTCCGTCTTGTCGACGGCGTCAAGCGCGTCGTAGGCGTTGAAGGCGATGGACCAGCCCGTGGGCACGTGGGACACGGAGACGAGGTTGTCGCCAAAGATCATTTCGGGGACGGGGATGCCGAGGGAGGCTGTCATGTCGTCGATGGGCCCGGCTTTGGAGATGGGGAGCTTGCGGGAGGCGACGCGGAAGTTGCGCTGGGTGTGGGTTGTTGTTGCGGCGGCGAGGGCGGAGGGGGTTGGGAAGGGTTCGTTTGGGTTGGTTATGTGGTTCATCTTGGGCGAATTTCTTTCCTGTCTTCTTAGTTTTGGTTGTGTCGAATTGGGTGGGATTTGAAAAGGGTGCGCGCAGGGGGGCTTTCGTGACGAGGATGGGTGATGAGGTTCGCGAGAGGTCGAGGTTGAGGTTTGGAGGTGGTGCAGCTCGGATCGGAGGTAAGGTCTGCTGGCTTGCAGTTGGAGCTCTCGTTCAGTTGGGGGAGGGGGAGAGGTGGTGATGGTGGGGTTGGCGGGGAACACCAAAGAGTCTCGGGGCCCTGATCCCTGCTTGTCTCGGTGAGGGGTGACGGCAAAGGGACTGGACGTCACTTGGTGTAACTCACCGACTTACACTGAGACCGCTCGAGTATAAATTGACATGTCCAAAAAGACAAAAGATTTCACGCCCCCGGTGCTGAATTGGGGGCTACATCTCTTGGTGCTCATGCTGGGATTAGAACTCGGGTACTCGCTAAGCCTGTCGTCGAGTAGGCTGGTTGGTGTAGAAATTGATTGTTGACCATTAACCATTCCACCACCACGCCCCAGTTTGACCTGACCCTCGACCTAGAGGGCGCCTGCTGGGCTGGCGACCGGAATGGAGTTGAGGGGATATATGAGGCCTTCTTAAATCAGATGAAAGCCGGGTACGTACCTATCTCTGGTTATGCGCGACCTTAGTAGGTTGGGAGCTTTGGCAAAGCTGGACCACTTGTACCCTGAACCCTTCCTGTAGTCAACACCCAGGGATACCACCTCAAGGTAACGTCCGTACTAAGTACATTATGGAGTCGTTAGAAGTGTAAGGCAAAGAGTAACGAATGACACCTTCTCTGTTTTAACTAAATGCCCCGTTGACCCGAGATACGGCAATGAATACGAAGTCCAACATGGTGAGATGACTTGGGTCTAAGGAAGAATCTATGGTCGAAACTATTTTTGCACTCCGAGTGGTGACTTGACTTCCGGCCCCGAAGTCACAGGATGTATTACTAAGAAGTAGAAGGTCGTCTACGGCCTCGGCATGGTGCATCTTTCCATCTTTACCTGCCCTGTGCAACCCCCCTTCCCCCATAAGGTAGGTATGGGTCTTTCCGATAGGTCACCAGAGTGGCATATCAAGATGCCTTCCCAGGTCCCCAGTCTAACTTGTTCTTCTTAATTTATAACCACGACCAATACTACATTGACCCCAGCAACTTCACCGAAAATCGATAACCCAAGAACTTTCAGAAATCACCGTGTCTGTAATTGCCGCCGATACTATATAGACTTAAGCAACCTGACCGAAATTCAGTAGCCAGAGGGCTTTCGAACATGACCTACTTACAAAAGCAACATTGGTGTCAACCCACGGCTCCGGACCGACAGCGATTCAACAGCCACAAGCCATGGCGCAGCGCTGCTCCAACCACATCGGTTGCTACTACAGCAGCAACTCGAAGCGTCACTACCAAGGCAAAGGTATTCGACAACCGCGTCTCTCCTTTGGAATTGTTCAGCAAAGACGTCGCACAGTTAGGGCCTAGCGTCAGGATCCTCGCTAGGTGCGACAGATGTGGACAAGTCCTCCTAGTTCCGGTACCACAAGAATGGCTTCGAAAACTGGAAAAAAACAAATCCCGATTCCCTCTACCTTCAGGCCATCCCCCACGATCCTGCGAGGAGTTCTTAAGGGACATGCATTTCCGTATATCCCTATAGATTTGCCCAGGTAGCGGGGACGGCAGCTGCCTCGCCAAGCGAACTCACGACAAAGAGACCTGATTGGAAACCAAGGCGTTGCCGGAAACATCATACGAAGTGAACCAGGAATGGCTTCAACTTGGCCTTCCATCGGCTGTGGGATTCCTGGCGGCTTTAGGCTGGCAAGAAAAACTCCAATCCGCAGTGGCTAGGACTTCCAAAAACGATCCTCGTTCCATGTTAAGCAACACCTGGATCATCTACCTCCACTGGCGATGTGCCTGGAATTTCTTCTCTCTGCGCAAAGGGGGTGTGAGGCACGAGAGCGCAAAGCTTGAGAGAATGTGGGGTCAAGTCGATGTGGACATGATGCTCTTGGAGTACGGCATGCTCGAAAAGGCAGATCTAGAGGCCCTGTACTGTACAAGTTATTCAACCCTCGCGGATTTGATATCTTGTGGCTGGCTCTACGCGTTAGCAGTACTCAATATGTTCTTTGGGATCAGACGCGATATCCGAAAAGATCAGTTTAACCCGCTCAAGATGGCTGTCCAGCGGGCTGATACGGCCATGGGGAAATACCTCTCGGCCTGCGTCAATATGACCGACTCGGAGCGGGACTTTCGACGACACGCTGCTTTTACCGCGTACCGCCACGTCGAGGAGCACTTAAACTATCACGCTAGTGCTCCGCAACTGAGAGAGCTCTACGAGCTGCGACAGTGGCCATCTTTGCCCTCGGCCGAGCCGTTGGAGGTATTCTTGACCGAATAGAAAGAACAAGAGCGGACTATGGTGACTAGAGCTTCGGGGTATGTCGTCGTCACATCTGCTCAAGGCCGGCCTTTCAAACACAACACAACTCAATCTAGTCAGGTTGAGAACCACGTGCACGGTGTGAAACATGACTGAAAGAAGCGAGTCAATCGAGAAGACACGGTCTAGCCAACACAGATCTTGGGAAATGTGACCATGTCAGACCAAGCTGACAGCGGCTAGCAAAGTTGAGGCAGTCGTCTAGGAAGTGGGAAGTGGGGGAGATCTGAAAGAGCGGGGCGGGTCGCTGCCCTGGCGCCGGCGCCGTCGTTTCCCTGGCAACCATCATCACCCCCGTTGTTTAGCTTCCCACACCTAGTCCTCCATCCTTACCCGAGAACCTTTCTTAATAACCTGACAGCCAACTCCAGGTTCCTTGATTCAAAAAACCATCCAGTGCACTTTTTTAACTAACAGGGAACATTCAACTTGCTACATCTCCATCCACCATCACATAGCAAGATGGCGGCTCGGACGCTGGAATCGCGCTTTGAGCGCATGTCGGTGAACGACGAGAATGAGCCTGTCGACGGCGGCAAGCTCTACTCCAAGACTCAGGTTGGTCCCATCGACACACATATACTCGCCGTGTGATATCATAGCTGACGGTCGCTCCGTAGACTTTGGTGAAGACATCACAGCTTTCCCAGAGCTCGAGCAGACCGAACCTCATCAAGGTTGCCCTCCAATCGCAGAGCACCAACGCCGTCGCCTCGGTAACCCTGCCATCACAAAACGCACAACGACAGGCCAAGAACCCGGCATCGCCCGCCAGAAAACCCCTGCCGTCCAGCTCCTCGAGAACGTCCGACGAGGTCGTCGAGATCGAGCGCAAGTCCGGCGTCTCCATCGTCCTCGAGCCCTCGATGCCCAAGGTTTTCCATCTCGGCATGTTTGAGATTGGCCGGCCCCTGGGCAAGGGCAAGTTCGGTCGCGTGTACCTCGCAAGGGAGCGCACGAGCGGCTTCATCTGCGCCCTCAAGGTCCTGCACAAGAACGAACTCCAACAGGGCCGCGTCGAGAAGCAGGTCCGCCGCGAGATCGAGATCCAGAGCAATCTGCGCCACCCCAACATCCTCCAGCTGTACGGCCACTTCCACGACAGCAAGCGCGTCTTCCTCATCCTCGAGTTCGCCGGCAAGGGCGAGCTGTACAAGCACCTGCGCAAGGAGAGCAGGTTCCCCGAATGGAAGTCGGCGCAGTACATTGCCCAGATGGCCTCGGCGCTGCGCTACCTGCACCGCAAGCACGTCATCCACCGTGACATCAAGCCCGAGAACATCCTCATGGGCATCCATGGCGAGATCAAGATTTCCGATTTCGGCTGGAGCGTCCACGCCCCCAACAACCGTCGCAACACCATGTGCGGTACCCTGGACTACCTCCCCCCGGAAATGATCAAGCCCGGTAGCTCGGATAACTACTACAACGAGAAGGTTGATCTCTGGAGTTTGGGTGTTTTGACGTACGAGTTCCTTGTCGGCGAGGCACCGTTCGAGGATACGCCCGTGATGACGCAGCGGAGGATAGCTCGGGCTGACATGACGGTTCCGTCCTTTGTCAGTCCCGAGGCCAAGGACCTGATCAAGAAGGTGAGGCAGCATCGATCCATATTCATGATCCACAAAAACAAATGCTCACATTGTCTCTAGTTGCTTGTTCTCGACCCCGAGAAGAGAATACCCCTGGAGCAGGTCCAAACCCACCCGTGGATCGTCAAGCACTGTGTGAAGGGCGAGAGAGCCGCCAACCGTGAGAAGAGCTCCTAAATAATGACCCTTATGATTCATGCATACATACCATCAAGGCATAACGGCCCTTGTAGGATTAACGGCGTTTTCTTCTTCTTTGCGGTATTCAGGCGGGCTCTGATCTACAGCTTGGGGTTTATCGGAGTGAGGAAGGTGTTTCCAATTGCATGTACGGGAGTTGGTGTCTTAATGTCCGTCGTTTTCAGAGTATCAAGAAACCCAAAGAAGCATAGCCATCATCGAAACATTTTTTGCTATATTTGCCAGTGTGCCTTCCGTGAGAGAGGAAAGAAATAGTACATCAGTAAAGGGGGGGTATTGTTACACATGCTCGTTTGTGTACGAGCCCGAACCTGTCGTCGTCGTCGTCCATCACCTGTAGACCTCTTCAAAGGGCCGCGTGTCGTTGAAACAGGATTCCCAGACCTGGTTTACCACCTTGGTCGCCTGCACATCGTCCTTGCACCTGGGTCGGTTGAGGACGGACTGTATCGCGCGCTTCCGCACGCAGTCCTGGAACTGCTGAGACAGACTCCAGTTGCCTCTCGTGAAGGCCTCTCTCGTCCATCTGCACTCGCCACTGAGCATCGATGCTCGAATCTGCCGTCCCGTCAGTTCAGTCTCTCCCTTTCTCCCCGCCTGTGCCCAGGGTCAGCCAACGCCAGGACGTAATAAACCTTACCTCTGTACACGCCGCATGCTTCAAATCCAGATCCCCCATCCAATCCACCTTCCACCGCAGGTGATCCCACGCGTGCACCATCTCGTGCGAGAGCGTGTCCTCCAGGTGCTTCCGGTTCCTGACCTCGTTGGCGCAGATCATGATGCCGTGGGCGGGGCTGAAGCCGCCCGACTGGCGGTGGACCTCGCCGTCCTCGGTCAGACGGGCGGGGCACCGGCGACACTGGATGTTGGACGCGTCGAGGGTGCCGTTGAGGCCGGCGATCTTGTCGTTGAGGAAGAGCACGGTCGGAGAGTAGTCGAGGAGCCAGTCGCGGTACTTCTCGCAGCGCTTGCAGTCGCGCTCCTCGTTGGCGCGGTACCGGGCCTCGCGGTAGTGGAAGGCGCCCTCGGCTGTCATGCGTCCCGTGAGGACGTTAAAGTAGTTCATCCACCACTTTGTCTGCGGGTCGAAACCGGTGCGGGCGGGGTCGTTGGTGAGCTCGCGCGGCGGTTGTTTCTGCTGTTGTTGCGCGGGTGTTGATGATGTCGCCGGGGGACGGGTCGCTGTCGAGGGGGTTTCGGGGGCCAGTGCCGCCGCTTGTTTGTCGTCGAGGATCGTCATTTTGGGCGTCGTGTGATTGAGGGATCGATTGTGCTTCGAGCTTCGTCGCTGATTGTGGGCGTTTACAACCTTAGGATTGGGTGGTGGTTGGCCAAGGATGGAGGTCGTTGTTGGAAGATCGGGAATTTTTGGCCGTTATCGATAAGTCTGTCAATGTGAACGAACGGTACCTACGTGCTACCTTACCAGGTAATAGGTAGTACCTTACCTGAGGTACCTTGGCCACTCCATCATTTCATCATTCCTTGCGGAACAAGACAGCGAGCGCTACATTCCTGGAATACTACTTCCAGGGATTGCATTTCGTTGAAAAATGTTCTAGAAATTCTGAAGAAGACATCGACATAATGACTGAGGTGGCTACCTGGTCCTCTTGAAACGTAACTGCGGTGATTTGACTTGTCGCCGCTGGTAACAAACTGACAGAACGCAGATCTGCCTAGGGCGCGCCCTGTCCAGGTCTCCTCAGTATGCAATGCTACGTGGAAACGACATGAACAGCGATTCAGCTCTGTCGAGGGTCTTATTCAAGACACGATAGGAATTGAATAACACCGATGAGTCGCTGATGGGCAGGGATAATGGTAATAAGAGGACCAGGCCATCAAGACCGACGGTGAAGATGCCCGCCTGGTGCACAACGGGCCTCCGCCCCGGATTTTAGGGTCAGGATAACTGCCCAATCACAGTCCTCTTTTGCAGCCAAACTCCCGGGCGTTCTCCCGCCTTTCCTCTACACCGGACGATCCCGATGTCGGGCCAGTTTTTTTTTTTTTTTTTTTACACTTCCACGCCGGCTCAGTCATAGGTTCAGCAAGAGGAAAAAATGTACACACGACCGGCAAGTCAAAAGACACGACAAAGGGCGCGGTAAACCGACCAGGGGCCTTGCACACATCACCACATCAGAACCAGGCGGATCCTTTTTTTCGTCCCACATTTAACCTGGAAACTCGAAGCAACCGGGCTAACTCTGGCAATGGCGGAAGAGGGTGGTCCTACGTGTAAGAAAGGGATCCAGTTATTTTTTCACCCCTCCTACGTAATGCGCCTGGTGCCATTTGTTTGGGCGACTCTTTGCGTTGATCGTAGTCGTCCCGTTCTTGACACTACCTTATTTATACTTATTCGTCGATGTCGTTCTCTCATCTTCGGGACAGGGTCGGATGAGTTAAGTGAGATTTGTTTGACTGACTTGAGATACCATTATCTGCAGACATGAAGCACCGCGAGGGCCGGAAACCTCTGACTGTGGTGCTGAAGCTCGGTGAGTCTATCAAAGGTTCCCACTTACTGCTATGATTCATTCTAATTCGTTGAATAGGCACCAGCTCTATCGTGGACGAGAAGACACATCAGCCGTTGCTTTCCATCCTAAGTCTCATCGTTGAGACGGCTGTGAAGTTGAGAAAAGATGGCCATAGGGTGGTCATTGTCTCATCTGGCGCCATCGGCGTCGGTCTCCTTCGGATGGAAATGGACAGACGGCCAAAGCACTTGTCAACATTACAGGTAAATCTCATACTCACCACCCCTCGATCTCTGGGGTTGCTCACGCTGATTGATGCTCGTAGGCGTTAGCGGCTATCGGTCAATGTAGACTCATCAGCCTGTGGGACGATCTGTTTGGCCACTTCAGACAACCCGTCGCCCAAATTCTGCTCACCAGGAACGACATTGCAGACGTAGGTCAAACTGTGGAAATGGACAACCAAGTCGGGCGCTGACACAGAATTGCAGCGGACACGGTACCTCAATGCCCAAAACACGTTCAACGAGCTCCTCGACATGGGCGTCATCCCCATCGTCAACGAGAACGACACGCTAGCCGTCTCGGAAATCAAGTTTGGCGACAACGACACCCTCTCCGCCATCGCCGCGGGTATGGTCCACGCAGACATGCTGTTCCTCATGACGGACGTGGACTGCCTCTACGACAAGAACCCCAGAGCGCACCCCGACGCCCAGGCGATCGAGGTGGTTGAGGACATTTCAAGTATCCAAGCAGATGGTAAGCAAGCAGACAACCCTCCCCCCTTTACGTAGCAGAAAGGGGGGGGGGGTGGCCTCAGTCTCACCTAAGCTAACCCAACCTCTCAACACAAGTCTCAACAGCAGGCTCCGCCCTCGGCACCGGTGGCATGATGACCAAAATCGTCGCCGCAAGGCTAGCAACCCAAGCAGGCGTGACAACCGTCATAACCCGATCTTCCAACCCGGGCAACATCGTCAAGATCGTCCGCTACGTCCAAGCCCAGCAAAAGTACTCCTCCTCCTCTTCCTCCCCGCACCTCCACGCCGCCCCAGACGGCGAGGACCCCGATAACCACCACGACTCCCACGACCACGACCACACCGAAGACCCGCTCGCGCAGTCGACGGCCTCCCTCCACATAGACCAAGCCGTCGAGAAGCCCCCGCTACATACCCGCTTCCTCCCCTCCGCAGACCCCATCCGCGACCGCCACTTCTGGCTCATCCACGGCCTTAAGCCCAACGGCACGCTCTACATCGACGCCGGCGCCCACAGCGCCCTCCTCCGCAAAGCGGGTCTCCTCCCCGCGGGCGTTCTCGACGTCGAGGGCAACTTTGCGCAACAGGAGGCCGTCCGCCTCGTCGTCGTGGACCGCCTCCACGCGCCCAGCACCACCGGGAAGCTGTGGGGCGGCACGCCCGTCGAGGTCGGCCGCGCGCTCGTCAACTACGCCGCGCCGGAAATCATGCGCATCAGGGGCCACCAGAGCTCCGATATTGGTGGCCTGCTGGGGTACGCTGATAGCGAGTACGTGGCGGAGAGGCAGCACATTCGCATTTTTGACCGGGAGAGCCGGCCGGTGACGCCGAGCATTGAGAAGGTCAAGGAGCAGGTCGTCGAGGAGGTGATTTCGGGTATCACGGGGTATGAGCAGAAGACATAGACAAAGTAGTGTTCTTAGTAGACGCTCCGTTATGATCTACTTGTCTCTCTACAAGAGTTGTGTCATCAGTGACCACGTATCCTTATCCCACGCAACGCCCCAAAAACGCCATAACCGAAAAACCCGCTCCGATAATCAAAATGCTTTCAATCTTTGACGCTGTGTGGGACATCCCCACCGAGTAAGAAAACCTGGGTAAATCGGCCTTGCCTGATGAATATTCACATGCATCGTGCCAAGGACTATGTGATGAACACTTTCTTAAGCTTGTCCATGGGGTAGACCTCGCCGGTGCGCAAATCCTTGACCTGGTCTGGTGGCAACCCAGACTTCTTTGCGTAATCCTCGAGACGCTCCTTGCCATACGCCCGACTATTCGGCAACAGCAGCAGATCGTGCTCGACGTAACTCTTGGTGTGATGCGCGTAGGGAACATTGCGGGCAAGATCATTGAGCTCTGTTGAGCATATTGGACAAACAGACTGCGTGCCTGCTGTAGCCGAGGCATTCGTTGCTGTGTTGGCGTCGGCGGCGACGTGCGATGAGTTCAGGGAATGGCAGGCTGGGGTCTTGAGGGCCGAAAGCCCTGATGAGAGAGCGATGTGGAGGAGGGGGTATGAAGGCAGAGCCAACAGACTATTGTGGGTGCGGGTGAAGAGGTCGGCGAGGGTGTTCCAGCGATCTGGGCTGTAGAGGTCTGAGTACACGGCATTGGCAGCCGTCGGTGGATAAGCTAGTAAACCAAAGGCCTTGCGAAGCTCATCCGGATATGTCGCCTTGAAAGGAACAAGATATTTCTTCGCGTGGGCGATGGCCTCTAGGAGCTTTGGCTGGGATTGGGTACGGACGAGCTCGATATACTGCTGGAAGCGGAGCATGAATTCGAGATTACTCTGTTTACACAAGGTCAGTCAATTTGCCAAGCGAGGTTGGGTGTATAGCGAGACGCACATCCATCTTGCGAAGCTCCTTCTTGTTATCCTGGCACCAAGCCAGCGCCTCGACAACACTTCCTCCCCTGAGTGATTCTTGAATTCGACTCATCTGAACGAATGTCTCGACGTCAACCAAGTCATCCATGTTGCGCTCGGTGGTGAGTGCCTGGGCGCTTTCGTTGTAGCCATGACGAAGCAGGTAGTCGACGAGCAAGCGGTCGAGGCGGGCGCGGCTCCAGGCCTCGTATTTTACGTCGTCGACGGAGTGCATGCCGTAGAGATCGCCGAGATGGGAAATGCGGGCACCGGTTTGACGGGTCAGACGGGCCTCTTCCTCGGCGTGAGCAGTGAGCTTGCGCTTGACGCCGCGCATGCGGGCGATCATGCTATCGAGGTTACGGAGGACATCGTCAGGTGATGAGTTGCCCTTGACCGAGGCCGTCGCGGTCTCCTTGAGCAAGGTCTTGATGGCCGAAGAGTCCTTCTCGACGGTGAAGTGGGCTGATCGGAAGTTCTTTCGGAGGAGCTCGTACGGGAGGCGGAGGAGGGGTTGATCCTGTCAGTTGGAATGGAGGTTAGTGCTGTATCTGGATAGCTAGCTTCCTGTGACGCAGCGACGTACGAGGAGGAGATGGTCCTGATGCTTGATTGTAGCGTGCTCATGGTCGCCCATCTTGGCGACTTTCACGGACGTGTCAATGGACTACTGGACCTTCTTTGACGTCTTGTTTGTAGGAGAGAAGTTGAATGCTGATGTCGTTGGTATGGCTTGAAAAGCAACCCAAAAGGCGTTCGTCGAAGGCTCGTAGTTGGGAGGTCGGTGCATTGGTACGGCCGCTAGCAGCAGTTGACATTATACCGCCGAACGTGGCGGGGCCGGAATCTTTCCGTACCAGAGCTGCAGGTCTTTCGGGAAGCTGTCTTGTGATAATTACTACATAATTCTCCAGGTTGCTCCAGGTATTCTCAATATTCTAAGAAGCCAGATCACTTGGAAACAAGAAATAAGAAATATTCATCTGTCCTGCTGCCAAAATCGCAAGTTCTGAAAGGCCGACATTCTTGTCCCTATGTCCAATAGCTCATGCTCTGAACCCCCATCCATCAGTGACAGACCCGACGTGAAGTGCTGCTGTCCAGCACAGACCACACGTGTGGCTTGTGCCTGCTTATATAAGGGTTCCTTGAGTGGAGTGTGAGCTCCGTCCAGCCACAACCCCGCTCTCCAAGGCTCACCCCCAGCTCAGATATCACTTGCTGCGACCAGCATCCGTAAGCAGATACGATGTGAGAGCTTGGGGAGAGGTAGCACTGAAACGAGGCAGACGGTGGCTAGCAACGGTCGAGACTACTTCGGAGCCGGTGTATCTGCTGTGCTTCTCTTCAAACTGGAATGTCTCACATCCCATCAGTCAAGTGATTCAAGTTGGCAGCCCACGGGGGCATCAGGTGATTGACGAGGCTCGGCATTTCTCGACGTAGATTCAAAGAGTACCTAAGCCCAGATGCAGAGAAGGGCGTACGGACTGGGTAGCTAAGGCTAAGGAAGGAGGATAAGCCCACATCTTCAGACCGGTCGAGGCTACCCCTGCTGCAGTCTACCTTACTCGCAGTAGTCTTCCGGTCCATCGCTAACAAGAAGACGACGTGTCGAGCCGGCCAACAGTGAAGAAAGTCGATAACAAGCAACAACACATCTCTCAGGCTGGGGCGCTGTTGCGGCAGGTGCCCCTCTTCGGAATGCGGATTGGCTCGGGGCATTCGGGGAAGGAGGCACCCACTTGGAAGCGACTGCCAGTGGGTGTGGATTCCCAGCCTCTGATTGGCTTTCGGTCTTTCTTGCCTCAGGAGTCAGGCGCACAACCTCCCTCGCGCTCAAGCGTATTTATCTCCAGCCTCACCCACTTTGCACGTGTTCACCCTCTTCCTCTGCCGCGTGACCAGAGCTTCCCGCCGTCGCTCCCCCAGACCGACACGCCCAACTCAACCGGCCCCTTTCAAACCATCACCCTCTCGGAAAATAATAAGATAAACGCAAGCCTTCGCCCAGGCTACGGCAATCCCCAAGAATCGCGATTTTGGAAAAAATTCGACGCGTTTTCCTGCTCTTTTGCCAACATTCAACCTCGACTACTAATAACGAACTACACGGGCGGCTCCATCTGACGAGGCCCCCCCAGCAGCCGCGGCGGCGCGATATCACGAGTTTGATCACGCCGACAACACGTGAACTCCAGCAAAACCCGTGATTTGGCTCACCGCCCAGACCACGCCGCAAAGCACATGATCTAAAGGTATGCGAGCTGTCCCATTTTTTTGACGATCTTCCCGTCTGCCCTACCGTCTCTCATCGCTATCACACTGCACTGCAACGGAAGCACGCTTCCGCAGAACGATTGCTTTTCCTCATTTGCGCCATTTTTGGGGATGCTGTCTTGTTCAAGCGCATCTTACGATCTGTCGCCCAGCCACAATCAAGCGATTGCGATGGATGGATTCTCATCATCCGATGGCGAAGACCTTCTCTAGTACTCCACAACGAATCTTTTTTCCAGCAGCAACGGCCTGGCAATCCAAACAACTACGTGTCGTCTCTCTCAGATGAGTGTGGCTTATGTCGATTGAAATGCGGCCTAAGCCACGACAATCTCAGGACTCATGTTGAGCCGTGACGCAGCTACGGTCTTGTCAATGTCAAGCTTTTCCCACCACGAACCCTCCACAGCGTCGAAGAGCAAGCGCTCCAAGATTTTCTCACGAGAAGCGGTCGCTGCTTCAGGATACCACTCAGGTTCGACCAACTTCAGCTTTGCCATCGGTGGCGGCTTGCAGAGCGTTTGATACTCACCTGACTTGACCCGACCTCTCGCGATTTGCGACTCCATACTTTCAATACATGCTCTTCCAGGACCCTTGATGCTAACCAAGCTCACCTAGTCCCCGCTTCATCTAATTGAATCAAGCTTGAGTCGACGGAAAGATCGTGCCCACTGAACGAGGCTTGGCCTGTTAACCCTCTTTCACTCTCACATTTGAATTCACGTCTCTCCCCCAACAATCCTCAACCACATCAACAATGGCCGACGTCATGAGCGAGCACCCAGACCTGTCGGAGTTGGCTGGCTCTCCATCTCCTGGTCAGAAGCGAAAGCGCGACGACGACTTGTCTGATTCGATGAGCCCTAGTCGAAAGCGCGCTAGTGCCGAAGGACTCTCAGATGTTGACACCGCCCAATTCATTGAGAATGCTGTCGAGGCTGCCCATGCTGCCGCTCAGAACGGTGTCTCCGCCGCCGACTTCAGCGCCCTGCAACAAGCTGCTGCTGCTGAGCATTCCGAGGCAGCCGACCCGGCCAATGCTTCCAGCACCGCTGCTGCCGCCCTCGGATCCATGTATCCCACCCTTCATGTTCCTCCCACCACTGAGGAGCAGTTTGCTGCACAGACGAGTAATGATCCTACCCATGGTCAGGACCATGGCTTCGGTCATGCTGACCTGCCGGACGGGCTCCCAGGTCTGCCTCCTGTACCTCAGCCCACCAATGGTCTCCAGGCTGTGCAACCTCAGCAATCCCACCAGCCTCACCAGCAGCATCAACCTCCCCCACCTCAGCACCGTTATTCGTCTGGATCAGCCGGCACTCCCGCTAAGAAACCGGACGTTGGCTCAGAGGAATGGCATAAGATGCGTAAAGACAATCATAAAGAGGGTAAGCAACGCCAGGGATGAGATCAATCCAGACACGGGCTAATCTAGATATAGTCGAGCGTCGTCGTCGTGAAACGATCAACGAAGGCATCAATGAGTTGGCCAAGATTGTGCCTAATTGCGAGAAGAACAAAGGCTCCATCCTTCAGCGTGCCGTCACCTTCATCAACCAACTCAAGGAGAATGAGACGCAGAACATAGAGAAATGGACTCTTGAGAAGCTGCTTACGGAGCAAGCTATAGCAGAGCTCAGTGCCTCCAATGACAAGCTGAAGCAAGAGTGCGAACGTCTCTACAAGGAACTAGAGACTTGGAAACGAGTTGCTCAGAACGCGGGTCTTTCATACCCCCAGGCGAACAAGGAGGAACCGGCAAGCACGACCTAGAAGGTCTCAGCTCAAGACCAGAACCCTTACCCTGCGGTCCATGTGGAGGCGGCGTTGTCTCCCCAGCAGGGTCCCATCGAACAGACGGACCATCAACATGATACTCCTCAGGATGAGCATGATGCCCCTCCTTACGAACCCTTCAACCTCCCTACCGACGAGGCCAGCGATCTCCCTGAAACTCCTCAGCATCAGAATGCGGATTCTCAATGCCAGTCACCGATCCTCGCCATTGATTATGCTATCCATCAGCATGACATCCCTCAATGCGAGCCCTCCGCACTTGCTATCGATCATGCGAATTTTCAGCTCCACACTCCTCAGTATCAGCCGTCCGCCTCTTTCGATCCACTTTGCCAGCCACGTCCGATTGCTCCTCGGGTGCTTCCTCCCATTCCTCCCAGAAGACTTCACTCACCTCAAGCTTCTGGATTCGTTGCGTCGGTCCCACGGGGCGTGTGTCAGATCGAGATTACGGACCCTGATCCTACTTTTTTCTATTCAACTTATACCCCCAGCCAGCAGTAAGCTGCTTTCTCGTTGTTTTCTCAGATTATAAAGCACTATAGCCGTGGTAGATAGGCTATATCATAATCAACCTTGCTCTCTAACTGTCATGTTTTCCCATGCGTATACGGTTTGGTCACAGCGTTGAACAAGACTTTGCGGTGGGCTTGTAGGATTTGGGTGTTTATAACAGAAGCATTACATGGATCACGGAGCTTTCCTGCTTTATGACATTAATAAGACGCCGGCTCTAGCCATGTGCAAAAACCAAGTTCCGTCTCGTTTGTGACGTCTAATGTGTTCAATGTCTTTGCTAAGTAAGTCAATAAAAGTACATGGAGTCGCCATAGACCAACGTCCTACCGAGGTCAATACCCAGTGTGGCACTCCTCGTCGGCCGGGAGAACCTCGACGGTGTAGGAACTGGGTTCTAGTAGCTGGAGAAGGCTAGTTCACGATGCAGACAAACTTACGTTCCATTGATGCTAGACTTTGCTCCCAAGGAAAGAAGTCTGGAACATGTTTGCGATCAACCGAAGAGGCAGAGACGAGCACAGCTGTCGCATCCGCAGGGCAAAGCTAAGCAAGCCATCGACAAAGTTAGGATGAGGTACCCGGCTTGAGTGAGAACTCGTCTGCCGCACGCTGTTCACATCCTAGGCCAATGTGTACATTCACAGCACTTGCGCTTAGCCGCAGAAATGCAAGATAACGGTGTGATTCAATCCCTGCCTTGGCTTTCAGAAGCCTTCGGTTTGGTTTTAAACGTTTATCAAAGACACAACGTGGCAAATCAGCCCCTGATTCTACCCGTTGCGCGCGAAAGCAGCCTCATGGGTGCTTTGCTTCTCCAAGGACAAACTTAGCATCTCACCATAGCTATGACTAGAAGATGATAACCCCCAGTGCTGAGCCTACGTCAACCCCCTTCCGGCTAGGCGCCTCCACTTCCTTCAGGCCATCGTTGCCACCTCCGGCCGTAAGAAAAACGCATGCAATCGGCATCAAAGGCAACGTCCTTGCATGGGAAATCACCCTTTCTTATATGCAGTCAGGACCCCTTTCGGTCTTTTCCCTCGTCCCGAGATCCGACTCGCAGCCGGGGAATTCGGAGCCCTCGTACTCTCCTGACAGAAAACGAGCTTAGGTCCGGGGCTACGGAGTCCGCATTCCGCGGTAGCCGGGGAGGGAAGAATAGAAAGTTGCCGCGGATTGGGGCGTGCATCCTGCATGATGCAATAGCACGTCCTTCCCGGCCGTAGCGGGGAGAACGGGAGAGAGAGATAGCGCCCGCTGCCGCTCGGCGGCCGGATCGAGGTCCGGGCCCCCGGGTTCAGGGGGCTCTGTGGTCGAGGTTGGCCAAGGTTCTGACAGTGTTACCAACTTCCTATGCCGTATGCCGTCAGGATGCAGTTTGCTTCAAGAAGGGAAGACGCGGGAGAAAGTAGAGGGTGGGGGGAAAGCGAACACAACCCTCTCCAGCCTCCAGGAAGTTAGTAACATCTCTTCGCCCTCGGAGATCACAGCTGTTTCTCTGTGATAGCGGCGAAAGTGTTGACGAGCTCTTGCATAGGAAATTTGACCTTCAACTTGATGAACCGGAAGTGATTGCCAAGACCCCTTGTATCTTTGTGCAGAATTAACACGCCATGTCTCTCCATTTACGTTTAGATGTCGCTCCGACTGGGCAGTCAACGTTGAGGACCATGCTGAGAGAGAAAAACTGCCCACGACATTCATAATGAGAAGTGATTTACGCCGAAACATTCCCCGGTGAAGATGTTTGGGGCGAGATGAGAATAGAAACTTGTGAAGAACCTTTAGAGTGACACTCATCTCGGGGCTGGAACTTTGAATCACGGCGGTTGGTTAGCAAGCGCTCTGAACCACTGTCGCCAACTCAAAGGACCATCTACTCTTATCTAAGCGCGCGACGGTTCTCGCGGACGCGAAAACAAAAACTCAAAATCAGACGACAAAAGTGTTTCTATTTGTAAATAGACCCTTCTGCCGACCACAGCCCGCTGTCATTCTGCATGTCAAACGCTGAGGTTAAATTAAGGCTGCACGAGCACATTTACAATGTTTGTGTGGGTGTTTCTGTGAGGTAAGTGATGGCGAGTACGGAGTATTCCGTATCCATGGGCCATACGTCAACTCGAACCCCCCTGACTTCAGGAACATACTTCGTCCTAGCTTCTTCAGCCCTGCTTACGGAGTGCATCTCTTGACTTCAGACCAAACTGGTGTGTGTGTGTGTGTGTGTGAGTGTGGAGATGGGACAGAAAGAGAGAGAGAGAGGGAACAGATGAAGAAAATGGAGGGGGCGTGTGAGCATATTCTCTAGGTCATGAGTGACGAGGTATCTGTACTCCGTACGAAAAGTACGGATGGAACTAAAAAAGAGTTCCGAAATGATTTACTTTGCAGCGGGAAGTCAAAATCATCGGGCCGGGCCAGTAGCTTCCCTTCTGACTCTCATTCTCAAATCAAATTAGCAGAAAATCCCGCGAGGAGCCGGGAGGGTAGGGGAGGACTCCGAAGCGGGATGAAGAAAAAGAAAATAAAAAAGGGACAGAAAGCACGATACAGGTCATCTGTCAGGAATCACAGGGGGTGGAAAGAGAGAGAAATCAAACGGAATCGAACGGTATGGGATGGAGGGGCGTGTGGTGATGATGGGGATGTATCATGAAAATAAGGTTGAAGTTGGAAAGGAAAAGAGAGTGGGAGGAGGCACAGAGGGATCAAAAACCAGCCAACAAACATTAACCCTTGAAAAGAAGGCTCTCAAGGTGTGGTACGCAGAGACCGGTGACTGGCCGCCCGGCGACTCCACTTCTTGACCGGTCAGCGGGGCACCGGTGACCGGGGTGCCACTTTTTATCTTCTCGCGAACCTCACAGCGCCGTAAACTTTGCACCGGCCTCAACTCTCTCACACTCTCATCGTACACTCCCCCCCTTCCCTTCCTCTTTCCTACCACACCAAACGAACCTTTGAATCACATTTGACATGTCAAAAATTGGATCCAAATCACCGGGATATGAGCAAAAGCAGCACTACGAAGATTCCCTGTCTACCTTAGTGGCTATTTGCAAAGTTGGCCCTCACGCCCTCACCTTAGCGTCCGTTGTCTGTCAGATTTACCTGTCAAAAAAAAAGAAAATCTTCCTAGCACCTATCTATGCAAGCCCGTTGTCAATCCATCCTCCTTACCTTCTTCCACCCCCGGCCCTATCCCTCCCTCATTCCAACCCGTCCCGTCCCGTCCGGGACGCCCCCACCGTTTGACATCTCCGTCACAGTGACAGTGACAGCTCTCTCGCCCCCTCTTACCCATGCCTGCCACCATGCCAATAGACTGGACCCCTAAAATCCTAGAGCTTTCTCCCTCACACACACACACACACACAGTGTGCAAGTCATCTATAACCTCCATCTCGCAAGGGGTGATAAAACGACATACGACGAGGCTAGCCACGTCGTGGAAAGCTGCCGATTGGGGCCGTACCTGGCTGGTGGTCACTGGTTGGGTGGTGATGACAAGCCAAAAACAACCAACAATTTCTCCTTGCAATTCAGAGTTTCCGCTTGACAGGGTTACAACTCCCACGCGCGAGCTCTGCCTTGCGGATTAGGTTCTCATCTTCATCTCTGAGAAGTGAGAATCATACATTCCAGGCAATCACACTAAGAGAAATTCACGCACTAAACCCCCTTGGAATGGTCCCCCCGGGGCAGAAGAGCCTCATTGACGTTGGAAGCTCCATGAGGCTGACACAGCCAAGACAAGCGCCAGCCGACGCTAAGAGAGAACAAAGAAAACAGAAGACGTTTAGACAAGTCTGATACCTAATCTCAACGACATCTTGCACTTTCACTCGTGAGCCGGGAAGAAAACGCTCTCGGGCAAACTGCCGTCCCATTACTATCTATAGTTGGACCACAATGTCCAAGACGGAAAGCCAAAAAGGTAACCAAACTCTTCGAGGTCGTTCAGACAACTCTCGCTCATCCCTCCAAGAACATAATAAGAAAACAAAACTCCCGTCATCATATCATGTCAAAAAAATCCTACTTTCTCCCTTTGTTCAAGCCATTGATAGCATTTTCTTTTCTGACACCCTCTTCTCCGGCACCCCGTTGCAGCCGTTTCCACGATTTTCAAGAAAACTCCCATCTCTTCTTCCAAGCGCCTCCTCTGGCATGAGATTCGGAAAAATAAAAAAACAAAAGCAAAAAACAAACGGTCTTAGCCAGCAGCATCACAAGAGTAGAGGGGGAAAGGAAGTAACAAAAGAAAAAAACCAAGTCGTCCTTCTTGTCGTAGAGGCATCCTCCCCTCCGAGTGAACCAATCCGTATATGCTGATGCTCGGGGTTAATACGAAGTCGAAGTAGAGAAAAGACAATGGGCAAAATTTGAACAAAAGAAAACGTGTCTCTCATGACAGCGTAAATGCCGTGACACGAGTATCGGAAAGCCACCGGGCAGATTGTATAAGAATCCCAGCCTCGACCTCGTTGTAAATCAGGAATAAAAACTCCAGCAAATTAGCACGCTTCATCGCTCTATTAGACGCGACCCCAACCTGTCGTCGAAATGACAAATGTTCCCGCCCCCCATATTGCTTCAGATTTTGCTTGTTTGATCTGAAGACTGCTGTCGCCGGCTGCTGCGCTCCGATATGCTTCCGTTGCCGAGTGATTGCTTTTTGACTCGCAGATGATGATACGAAAGTAGAATTGCCGCTCCTTAGGAAAGTGAAAATCAATGGCCGTGCCGATTAAAATCCTGGAAAGCCGTCGTTTTGGTTTCTCGTTCTGATGTTCCGATGTATCCAACCCCTAAAGCCTTGAGGTCGTGGTTGTTGTGTAGGTCGCGCCTACTCCGGGAGTACATACTTTGCTGGATTGCTTCCGAAAGCCCGGTGATCTTGAAGTCCGGAACACACGCCCGATCCCCTCAAAAAGCCTGTCGTTTGCGCGAAATTCGTGTAGGTCATTCATGCGTTGCCGCGATGGGCTCCAGTCTCGAGCTGTTCTGTTACTTCCAGCCCGCTCAACTTGTCAAAGACGTAATGATGCCTCGTGCTGGCTAAACCATCTGTCCAGGGTCCGTCTAGTCTCACATCAATGCATTTGCCCTCTTGCGAGTGCTTCCGCTTTCCCGCCCGACCCAGGCAACCCGCGTGTGTCAGTAGGTAGGTAATTTGGGAACCCTTGAGAGTTCTGCACCGGCGTTTGATGGGCGCTTACGGGCCGGAAA